AAAAGTTCACTTAGAAAGGCCATGAACATGCATGGATCCAGCATTTTGGGTAAGAGGAGAGCATGTTACCTAAACTGAAAATCTGTCATTCCTCCTTATTTTTTATTGTGTCCTATTCTGATTCTACCCCTTCCCCGGAGTTTGATTGTTTCGTATTTCTATATGCAAAGAGGTTAAGTCCCATGTATGGGGAAGATGGACAGATTGCCTTTGTCTGAGGCAAGGGGCATAGGATATCAGGACTGAAGAGGGTGGAAGCCCCCTAAAAGCTGGAAAGATAGCATGACTGGGCAAATAATTTCCTTTTTGTAAAGATAAATGCAGCTACGCCCCTGGAGGTCTGTCGTCCACCTAGTATAGCCTTCAAAACCTCTTATTGTTTTTTCTTAGGAAGAGCTCTACTGGTCATTCTCTTTCATGTATAAATTTCTCCCTGTTTGTAGCTGAGGAAGTTCAATTTAAAGATTGCACCATCAATAAGACAAAATTTGCCTTTGGAATTTTGACGGAAAAGGTTTCTTTTCTTGCTGCTATTCCGGAGAAGAAATGGAAGGATCATTTTTGTAAACTTTGTGTGTGTATACGTCAGCCTTCCTTTGTCCTAAGTGTTTCATTTTCATTCAAAAATATGGTTTTAAAAAAAGGAATGTGTATCTTAAATTTTGTCAAATTATCTTATCCAATTTCATAATATAGGTTTTTGTTAATGCTTTCTTATCCATGTTAAGTTTTGGTTGTGATTGAAAAGGTAATCTGCGACTGTACCTAGTGTGCTCTCGTATGGGTCTGCCAATGATGAAATATCAGATTAGGTGCTACATGTACTTTTTTACTGTATGCTGAGAACTTTTCATTGTATTTTATATAACTGTTGTTATCAGGCCAATAAATATTAGCTCACAAGCTGTACCACATTCATTAATCACATTTAGAGCAGTATGGAAGAAAATTAGATTTTATGATTATAAACACACAAATGGATAAAGGGTGAATATGTGAGTGGGCCATGGATGAAATGTGAACAAAACTTGGCAACAGGTGAAGCATGAATATGTGACTGAATCATGAATAAAGGGTTAAAAAAAACTAGGCAATAGGTGAAAGGTGAATGAGTGATTTGGGAACAGATGAAAAATGGATTTGTGATGGAGCGATATATAATGAGTGAATGTGACAGGGCAATAGGTGCAGTGTTAATATGTGACTAAATCATGGAAAAAGGGCCAAAAAGACTGGGCTATATGTAAAATGTGACTATGTGACAGGGAAATAGGTGCAGTGTTAATGTGTGACTTAGCCATGGACTAAGGGTGAAAAAGACTGGGCTAGAAGTAAAATGTGAATATGTGACTGGGGAACTGATGAAGAATGGATATGTGACAAAGCAATAGATAAAGGGTGGATATGTAACAAGGCAACAGGTAAAGGGTGAATATATGACTATGGAACAGATGAAGAATAAATATGTGACTAAGTGACAGATGACGGGTGAATATATGACTGGGCTACATATGAATAATGAAAATGTGACTGGGCAAGGTATGAAGGGTGAAAATGTGACTGGGCAAGGTATGAAGGGTGAAAATGTGACTGGGCAAGGTATGAAGGGTGAAAATGTGATTGGGCAAGGTATGAAGGGTGAAAATTTGACTGGGTACCAGGTGGAGTGTGAATATGTGACTAATTTAATGATGGAAGAGTAAATATGTGACTAGGTGACATTTGTTTGGTAGGTTTATCACCTCATGAAATAGCCAGGGTCATTTTGTGGCAAGGTCTCTTTGTACTAGCTGAAGGCTAACTCACTGGACAACATACAGGATGCCCATCAAATGCTTTCAAGTGCAATTCGGGTGTAAAGTATCTTGCCCAAGTACATAACCATGACAACACAGACCAGTCCATATTTCTGCTTCCTGAGAAGGAATCATGCACCACTGGGTGACAACTAAAGGGTGGTCATCTACATTGTAGATAGGATATGGATGTAGAAAAAAGAGGCTCATCTGACTATAAAGACATATAAAAGAGGCAAAATAGGTCTAAAATATATGCTCAACTACTCTTCAGCTTACATAGAAGACATTGTTGGTTCATCTAGACATTTTCTGAAAACTTGAAATCATATTCTTTATACATGCACTAAACAATTGCCATTATCTCGCACATATTACTTGTTGAAAAAGCAAGCTACAGGCCCAGACCCTTGGCCCTTTGGATATTGAGAAGAAGTTGCTTAAGCATTTCATCACGTTTAACCACTATGACCTTGAAAAATTTTTCAATATCAGCACCCTAGTCCTTGACGTTATTGAGAAGAAATCATTTACTTATTTTAACACATTTGATAACTGACCTTAAAAGTTGTTCAATGTCATTCATATAAACAAAGTTGGTAGTCCTTCATCTTAGCATGCTACAGACCTAATATCATCATCCTTGGTCATTTGGTTATTGAGAAGAAGTCATTTAAAGTTTTTCATACATTTGATACCTGTGACCTTGAAAGTGCGTCAATGTTGCTCAAATTAACAAAGTTAGTAATTCTTCATCTTAGCATGCTATAGGCCTTATATCACCATCCTTGATGTTTTTGGGTTATTGAGCAAAAAATTATAACAATTTAACATATTTGATCCTGTGACCTTTCGAGTGGATCAAGGTCAATTCTATTAACTAGGGATTGAATCAACTTTGTAACTTTAAGAAATGATTCCCCTCTCTCCATGATGTTTTAGACTAAACTTGGTTGAAATCCATTCAAGCATTAAAAAAGAAGTAGCATTTTGAAGCAAAATATTGTCTAATTTCTCCTTTCGGATGCCACAGCCCCAATTCACTAGGTGTCAAATCAACTTTCTGAAGATCAGAAATGATTCTCCACTATCAATTATGTTTCAGAAATCCATTCAAGTATTAAAAATAAGGTGTGTTTTAAACAAAATACAGATGTATTGACTATTTTCCCCTTTTGGGGACCCACCCAAAAGTCCTTAGGGGTCGATCAAATAAACTTTCTGAATTTAAGAATTGATGATCCCCACTCTCAATGATGTTTCAGACCAAATTGGTTGATATCCATTTAAGCATTAAAAAGGAGTATTGTTTTGAAGCAAAATATTATCATATTTTCCCTTTTGGGGACCCACCCAGAAGTCCCTAGGTGTCGAATCAAATGTCAGAATGTAGGAAATAATTGCCTTCCCTTATTGATGAATCAGGCCAAAAGTTATTGAAATCCAATCTGGCAGAAAGGAGGAGTAGGTTTTTAAATCTAATTTCAGCACCTCCCCCTTCAAGGCCCCATCCCTAGACCTCTAGGGGATGAAGCAAACTGGATGTCAAAATACAAATTTGTCCCAGCCATCTCTCAGAAAATTTCTTTTTGGTAATTTTTTTTTCTACATGACTAATCCTAATAAAAACTGGCCACAATACACCTCTCAGCTAGAGAAACTTCTTTAGCTCGATCAGTAAGACTAATAAGCTAGAAATTCCAGCATAGCTAGTACCAAATGGAAGTATTGAAATAATGACCTCTGTTGCATGATCCTCTTCAAACCAATATATGGAAGTAAATACATATGTATTAAAATATAGTTCCATATCAACAGATACTTCAATAGATTTTTCATATTATTGGATCACAGCTGGCTGCATACTTTTTATCTCCTACAAACATATGTTCTGAATCAAAGAATCTGAAGTTACATTACAACATGAAGTCCTAGTGAGATATCATAGTGGTGCTAGTGTAATTTCACCACTATATCACACATTTGTAACCACAGATTGTTGGAAATAATTCCCTACTTGATGACTTTGTAAAAGATCGGTTCTAACAAGACGACAACATGGTCAGCCTACATAGTCAAAAATAATTACTCTAAATATATTTTTGTGGGACATTTAAAGTATGATGAATTTTAAAGCATGCTGGTCAAACATCAGGAATCTTAAGATCCTAGGAAGTGTTTTACCATTTATAAACAAAGTTTGAGTCTGTGCTTCAAGTTGACTCTAACCTAACACAAGTAAGTATATGTTTGTGTTCAAATCAACACAATGAGTGATTTAAAGCTTTTAACCTATTTGACTTATGTGATCTTAAAAGTAGGTCAGGGACATTTATTTGAGGAAACAACTGGCCAATATCTGGATTCAGGTGATGGATGCTGCACTACACCTTATTTTTTGCCATGTGAGCTATGAATTTGAGACAGTCCATTGTCAGCTCTCTCTACTAGTGTAGGAAATGTTAAAAAACAGGTTGACACCAAGATTAAAGTTACAATATTTTTCTCATTGTCTTCACTCTTCATAACTTAAAAAAAGTTGGTTTTGTTTTTAGTAACTATGATGTCCATACTGATACTGAAACTTTACTAACTTTTTTGAGAACAGCTGATAAAATTTTCATAACAAATCCTATTTTTTTCACCTGGCAGTTCCAGGTGTATAGCAATAATTCACAAATATTAATATTCCCATGTAACATACAATTCAGTTCTCTTTCTTTGAATACATAAATAACTAAATGTTTATCACAGTTTTTCATCGTCTATCCTCTTAAGGAAAGTGTGTTAATAGTCTTAAATTACACAGTCAACTTCACATAATGCAATGTCATTCTGGTTACTATAGAAAAATCTTCATCACAGTTTCAATATTCATGTGTCATGCTTGAGGCAAATTTATAATGGCATTTTGACATATATTAGCAGAGGAGATACTGTATAACTGTAATAATAGGAGAAAAAAAGCAACATATTTTTCTGACAACAATTGGAGTGAAAATTGTACTGGGTAAAATTTTGTCATGGTAAGAGTTTTACTAGGCCTGGGTGAAACTTTACTCGGTAAAGTTTAAGTAAAAGAGATAAAAGTTTTCTAGTATAGACAGTGCTGACATTTCATAGCTGATTTTTGGTATATACTAAGTGGAATCAGAGACAAACATAACAGGTACAATGATGGACCAGTGAGAACCAACACAGATACACTAATCATTTCTAATTTATATCAGGCTTTATTTCTGTTGGTGACACTATATTTACACCTGTTATTCTGATGTAAAATCACGTGGATCCTTCACCTTCAGTTTCAATGTTAGTGGCTTTTTATGCCCTGCACCATCTGAATTTTCACCCTCTGATGAATAATAATGAGGCTTAAATGATAACTGTTGTTTAAAATCTTCTGGATCTGATTCTATAAATTCATAAGCATCAAAATTAGAAGATGTTGATGTGCTAGTTCTCTGACTCTGTTTTCGTTTTTTACCACTGTGTTTCGAGTCTTTTTGATCACGTGATGGAGGTGATGGTACAGCTAGAGGTTTAATTTGTATTTTTAATGGTGGCCGTCTAACAAACTTGAGTTTGATGCCTTCACTAGTGTCACTGACGGTGCTCACAGCTAGGTGAGATTGACTCGACCCTGGAAAACTACCATCTTCTGCTGCCTCCACATCACGATTCACTTGGGGTTGCTGAGGTATTTTGATAGGAACAGACCTTCTTCTATCATCACCAAATTCATCTTCTTCATCATCGGTATCTACCTCCTTATAACTTGGCTTTTTCAACACACGTAGGTCCTTTTTGGTTTGATTTAGCATATCTTTATGTCTCTGCTTTTCAATTTCTAACAACTCTGCTGATCGTCGCATGTGATGCTGTCTTAACAACTCAAGTTCATGAGCTTGTTTGTCCTGCTCTGCTTGTTTCACTCTGTCAATCTTTTCTTGTTTTTCTCTAAGTATACGTTCCCTCTCTTCTCTTTCTCTTCTTAATACTTCAAGTCTAGCATTTTCAATTCTCTCTCTCTCACGTCTTTCCTTATCTAGAATTTCCTGAATTCTGACCTGCTCCATGAACTCTGCGAGGAGTTCATCCCCACTTTTTGCAGCCTCTGGATCAGTTAAAGATATTGTTTTTTCCTTTTTCTTAGCCACAAACACTTTTCCTCTGAGATCAATTTTTTCACACAGATCTGGAAGTCGGATAGCTAGACTATCACCAAAGTAATCATACATATCATTATAAAACTGCCCCAGTGAGGCCTGTTGCTGGGAATTGCTTGTATCCATCTTTGTTGGAGATGCCTGCTCCTTTGGTTTGACACTTAACTTGAATTTATTATTTTCATACTCTTCTACTTGCTCCTCAAATTTTCGGATATGCTTCTTCATCACAAATTCTACAGCCAACTGAAAGTAAAAGTGATAACTGACTAAGATTAACATGAACAAATTTCAAGATAACAAAACTTCATCATTTGCAAGTTAGAGTGTTTTTATCTCTTACTATATTAAGGTGTATACTAAAATCTACCTTTATAGGTCAATGATAACTGAAGTTGTTGTCTATTTCTACACAGACTAGCAACTTTCAGTTTCCTTTATAATTTGTTCTTTTAAAAGAATATTAAAAGTTATCCTAGTCTTTTAGATATTTATTAATAAAGTTCTTGAAAACATGTTACAGATTTCCACATACCATCACCACTACCAGTATACATATCCCCTGATATTCCATTCTAAATTATTTTTTTGGAAACATATCTTAGTTTGGTATGTGAATCTGTTTGGTTAACTAAGATTTTCCAACCTACCAGCATGGCACCATGGACCTTGTGGGCATCTGCCTTTGTGATGGCATTGGCATAAGATGTGTCCTCCAACACAGAAGTGAGATGTGGCCAGTAGACGGGAAGGTGAGGTATCAACACATCCTCCACTGGCTGTAAGGGAGACAACTCAAAAATTACTATTAAAGGGAGATTCTGTACAAAATTATTTACTTTATAACACATTCTTGTGGAAAGGGTACACCTCAATTTACCATTCCAACAAAAACAAGGTATTTCTTTTGCTGAAAATCTTTACTGATCTAGCTAGATTGATTTACTAATGTTTGCAACGCCTTGATCCCGTCATGACAGGTTTGCATTGTTGTAAGCGACCAGAATGAATTTTTTGTGTAAATTTTAAAACCAATAGAAAAGAAATCTAATGAAATAATACAATTGTAACCCTCTGCAGAAATTCTAGTGAGAAGCATACACATTGGAGTATTTAACAAATACCCAGCATAAAAATCGATGATCCAATGACCTTTCAGTTCTGGATTTCCCTGATGTGCTATATTTGGATGGTTTGGCTGTGAGTATTCCCACTGATTTCACATATCCAAACTGACCACAGGAGAGATATGCTAACAATAGTTTTAAATGTAATTAAGATTAGTTCTTAAAAAGAACAAATCAGCCAGAAATTTGAGCAAGTAGGAGCAACAGGGAAGAATTTTTATTTTTCAATTTTGGAGAAAGCAATGGTAAGATTGAGCAATAACTGGTTTCAAAACCTAAAAAAAGTGCTCAAATTAATGTTTATATGTTATTTGATTTTAGGTACATTTTTATAAAAAAAACATCAACTTGACCCTAGGACTCCAAAATTTAAGACTTCTAGCCATGGTTCTGTTTCCTGTCAATTACTTCTAATCAATTTCAGAATAATTATAATTATACTTCCATCTTGAGTGAAAATGCAGATTTTTTTTTAATTACATGATGAACCCAGATCAGATGTGCTGACTTTAAAAGGGAAATTATTTATATGGTTAATGTATATCCATTTTATTTTCAGGATTCAATATTCCAAACAATAACTGCCTAACTGTTGATAATTATTAACACTGTCTTGCTGCCAGTTGCAGGATATATATCCAGTGTCGTTTTGTTTGCATACATATACCATATATACATACATCACATACAGTTCGTGTTTGGGTTATAGACAATGCCTGTTTTCAATTGAGCAAATAGTTGTCTAACGCAAATGCTCCCAATGCTTCACTTTCCTTGCCATTCTAGCATTAAGTCACCCAAATTAGAATTATGTAATATTATAAACAGACCAAAACAAATTCAGATTCAGATATTTTTTTAGAAGAGGCACAAATTTAAAAAAATCTTCTCTTCTTCAGATTTCAGAAGTATTTTTCCCCAAAGAACTAGGTATCAGTTTGGTGTGGCTTTGTGATCAATGTTTAGAGATAGAAACATGAATTGTTAGAGCAATCGACATAGATAAGACTCTGGTTTACCCCCCAATACTGACCTTGTAACCAAGGGCTGTAAGCCCCATGACAGCACCATAATGACAACAGAAAGGTTTAGCATGGTCACATAAAACTTCCTTCAGGTTCTTCACAGTATTGTACAGCAGATGGTTGATGGGACTAGACCAGGACCTGACAAGTTTGTAATACAATTTTAACACCACATGTATAAACTCTATAGCAAATGTTTATATGGCTTTGTGACCTTGTTGTTACCTCTAAAATACACAGTGCATTTTAATACACTATATTTTTGTTAACAGATTAATAACTTCCTTTTATAAATGTGCATAATTTTTTTATTAATATTACCAGTAAATTGATTTCATTTAAGTGAACAACAGAACAAAGGGAGCTAACTGTTACAAGCTCTACAGAAAATTATCTGCTAATATATTTTTTGTAAAGAGTTAGCTATGAATCATCAGAGAGAAGTACCCTACTTGATACCTACATAATGATCTGAGCCAGTAGGCGAGCAGCATAGTCTCGTAAAGCCCAATGATCGTTGGACGGATTAATGGAGGCAGCGAGAGGTTCCAGCAGACAGTAAGTGGTACCCTGTACCATTAGGTTTAACTATAAAAAGAAAATCCCTTTAAGTTTCATTTAACTGAAAAAGAATGTCCATTTCTTACAAATACTATAGATCTCTGATGAATCTTGACCGTTGTTTAACCTTTATTTGGTCTTTATCATTGGATATTATCCCTTCTTCCCTCATCTGTTTTTTTTTTCTTTTCTGTTGTTGCTCCTTACTAAAAGAAATTTGAAAAAACTCTTATAAAATAGGGATAATAATCTTTAATTGTCAAATCCAAGATGGTCACCTGTTGGTTATTTTGTTTTTCAAATCAGTCTCAAAATCAAATGGGCACAATTCAGGATCAAGGTAAACCTGTACATGACCGAGATTCATCTATTACTTCTCAAGAAATAGTGATAACAATTTTTCTATGTCGAAATCCAAACAGCAGTCATTTCATCTTCCTGATCAACCCCAAAGTCAAATCAAAAGGGCACAACAAGGGACCAACAGGAATCTTTTTATGCAGTCTGATGAAGTTCCATCCCAAGAAATAGCAATATCAAATTTTCCTATTCGAAATCCAAGATGGCCACCTATCAGCTATTTTGTTTTTCAGATCAGTCTCAGAAGTAAAAGGTCACAAGTAGAGACCAAGGGAAACCCATTCATGAAATTTGATGAGTATCCATCTCGTACCTCCGAATAAATAGAGATAACAGACTTTTTAGTCAAAATCTAAGAAGGCAGTCTTTAAACCATTTCCATTTCAGTGTCAAAATCAAAAAGGTAAAACCAGAGACCAAAGGAAACCTTCATCTGAAATTTGAGAATGATTCATCCAGTACTTTACAGGAAACAGCAATAATAATCATTCATAATCAAAATCTAAAATGGCCGCCTGTTGGCCTTTTTTTGTTTTTGGATCAGTCCCAATCTGAGCCAGTGCATAATTAGGTACCAAGAGGAAACAACCTAATAGAAATAAGTATTTGAAAATGAACAGCATCACAAAATTACAACTGTCAAACAGAGAAAAAAAAAGTAATAAAGAACTGAAACCAGCTGTCAATTTATAGAAATGTCAAACCAAGTCGTCAAGTCAAACATAAAGCACATACAAGACAGACCCCAGGTACAATGAGATATTGTTAAGCATCAGTTACAGTGAGATGTTGTTTAGTATGATACCTGGTACAGTAAGGTGTTGTATAGTATAATACAGGTACAGTGAGGTGTTGTATGGTATAATACAGGTACAGTGAGGTGTTGTCTGGTATAATACTTACATATGGCTGTGGCTCCAGATATAATGAGGTGTTGTTGATGAGTGCTTTTATGGTATGAAGTAGCTTGGTCAGTTGGCAGATATCATGGCTCACTGTTTTAACCTGATAAAAGATAATAGACTTTGTTCACACCTGATACCAAACTTCATACCTTACTTTCACTAGTCTGTACAAAGACATGTATTACTCCTCAAGGCTTTTCCAAAGATACATCAGAAGATGAGGGAAATGCCTGTACTCCCTACATCAATCTTTTCACTACTTATGTAACAATTTACAAGTGTTGTCAATCTTTGTTCATCAAAACATTTACACATATGCGAATCAGTAACATAAACTTTTCTGAATTACAGTGTACTTACCCCATTGGCAACAAAACTGACAAAGCGAGGAAGAAGGGGGACAATCTGGGAGTTTGTCCTGAGATCTTGTAGAGCAATCTGAAAGTTAACAATAGTACCATACTGGGGTGTTGACACCAAACAATGATAGAACCAACATTGACAGATATAAAATATTCAGTCAACTCGGCATGAAATTTAGAATTAGGATGTACTTACAAATCTATGGATACATTCTATTACCTTCTTTTCTCATAATTAAAAACAATCTATACCAACCTTCATGGCATCAGGGTCACAACCTAGGATGGCATTTGTTACATTGTCAAAGTACATCTGTAAATCCTCGCGTTTAATGATGGGTTTGACTACAAATAAAATATACAGCAACATGTTACCAGGGTCAAAGCATAGGACACCCAAGTGTTGAAAAATACATTCGACCCTTTCCTTAACAATATATAGAGGATCTTTTTATGAGTTTCCATTTCAAAAGAAATTGGTAAAAGAATTTGGTGAGTTGTTTAGTTCATCAAGGTAAAATGAAAAATTTGTGACCAATTTAATAAATCTCATATGAAATGGAAATGAACATAAGATTCTGTTTCTCATATATTCTACAAGCAATGAAAACAACATTTCAAGACTGGTATCAAAAATCTAGATTGATTTTCTATATTGCATTCTTTGATGACATCACAATGCATATGATTACCAATATATAAATCTCCAAACATATACCACATTATTATTTCCCATAAATTCAAGGTTATGATACCAGAATGTAAAATATCAAGGACATTTCACTCAACAAAAAACTTACTGAGATTTTGATGGAGAGCAGATGACACTTTAGAGACTCCTTCAACAGCAAGCCAATGAGCTGAAACCAAGATTGAATATGCATGATACAAGGTGTAACAGTAAAGTCAGTGTGGGACAAATTAACTATAGAGTTTAAGAATATGCATGATATAAAGATGTAACAGTTAAGTCAGTGTGGGACAAATTAACTATAGAGTTTAAGAATATGCATGATATAAAGATGTAACAGTTAAGTCAGTGTGGGACAAATTAACTGTAGAGTTAAAGAATATGCATGATATAAAGATGTAACAGTTAAGTCAGTGTGGGACAAATTAACTATAGAGTTTAAGAATATGCATGATATAAAGATGTAACAGTTAAGTCAGTGTGGGACAAATTAACTGTAGAGTTTAAGAATATGCATGATATAAAGATGTAACAGTTAAGTCAGTGTGTGACAAATTAACTGTAGAGTTAAAGAATATGCATGATATAAAGATGTAACAGTTAAGTCAGTGTGGGACAAATTAACTATAGAGTTTAAGAATATGCATGATATAAAGATGTAACAGTTAAGTCATGTGTGACAAATTAACTGTAGAGTTAAAGAATATGCATGATATAAAGATGTAACAGTTAAGTCAGTGTGGGACAAATTAACTGTAGAGTTAAAGAATATGCATGATATAAAGATGTAACAGTTAAGTCAGTGTGTGACAAATTAACTGTAGAGTTAAAGAATATGCATGATATAAAGATGTAACAGTTAAGTCAGTGTGGGACAAATTAACTATAGAGTTAAAGAATATGCATGATATAAAGATGTAACAGTTAAGTCAGTGTGTGACAAATTAACTGTAGAGTTAATGAATATGCATAATACAAGGTGGAACAGTTACGTCACTGTGGGGCAATCTATTTACAGACTTTATGATTCTGCAATTGAAATTATGATTTAACATGACATGCAAATTTCAAAACTTATATACTTTTTCTAAGTAAAACTTTCTATGATATGTAAATACCTTATAAATATTGAAATGCATTTTCATATTTTGACTGGGTATAGGGTAAGCAATGAAAAGCTTATCAAACATGTGAAGCTATCTGTTGAGCTGATTCAAATATTTCACAAGTCTGTACTTGTGTTTCCTTATCCCTTAATCTAGTATTATGTTTATAAATGTACCTTTAATGGAGGTTTCTCCAGGATTTTTCGGAACATAATTACTGAAGGCAACATTGGCAAAATTTGATTCTGAATCTTCAACAAAGAAGAGTTCTCCATCTTTGGTCTGTCGGAAAGGCAAATTTTCAGGTGATCGGTATCCAGCAATAGGCTATCAAGTCAAGAAGGAGCAAAATACATATAAAATATTGTGAATGTAATTAAATAACATGAATAGTAGAAATCTATATGTTTGCCATAATATCTTAATTATTTACATCTATCAGATGATAGACACATGATAATGTATGCGGTTAACGGAAATATATTTTGTTCCTTATCAGAAAACAAGGTATAAATATACCTTATAAGAAATATGCATAATACAGTGAGCATTATCGTAAGTTCTTGGTACAAAGAAAGTAGAAATTCTTGGCATATTCATCAACATTTATTAGGACTTCATTTCATAATGTTTAGAGCTTGTAAGCTGACACATTTTAATGTGATAGGTAACACAAGGGACATTCTTCTAAATAAGATTGCTGTGCTTCTTTATATCATTAACTTATATTATATAATTGCATATTAACTTTTTCTGATGTTACTGACTCAGGGTGAATGGAAGATTAACTCTCCAGGTTATCACTAACTTTAAAGACAATTTGACTCATCTGAGCATTGTTGACCCTGACTGACAGATTGACTCACTTAAACAACACTGACTTTGAAAGACGACTCATGAGCACTGCATACCTCAACTTACAGAATGGCTCACCTGAATATCACTAACTGTAAATGAAAACTTGACTCATCTGAACACTGCTGACTTCAAGTGAAAGATGGACTCAGCTGAATATCACTGACTTTGAAAATCAACTTGACTCATGAGCAGTGCATTCCTTGACAGATAAATTAACTCACCTGAATATCGCTGACTTTAAGAGATTTATTAAAATCATCTGTGGTCATCTTTTTTCTTTTGGCATGTTTCATATACTGTGCCCCATTCTGGAATCAAGAAAATATCATTGCACATACAAACTACATGCATATATAACTTCACAATTTTTGTATCAAATATATCCTTTCTCTTAACATAATCAAACAATTAATGAATACAAGATCAGGGACACATATAATCATTATCAGTTAGTAATAAATTATTATTCTGCACCATATATTTCAGTCATCATCATTTAAAATGGGTTCAGTGACAATAAATACTATATGAAGACATTTTGCATAACACTACAAAGATGCAAATCTTACCACTATCCTAATGGTGTCATTGACTAGTTTTCAAAAAATTACTATTATAAAATTCAACCAATCTTTTCAAAACTTAATATTTCTATAATCAAAAACCGTTATTAGTTTGTGTTACAACTTTTTGTAAAGACAATATTTTTTAGTTACAGAGAAAAAGACTTTTTATCAGCTGTAAAACAGGGCAATAATCATCACTGATTTAATACCTGAGCTGCCTCCCGAAGTCTATAGCTGACATCTTCTCCTAACAGAGACGCTACATCATCAGGTATGTCTGAATGGCCTCCAGCTTCTGCAATGAGTCTTATTGATTCCTTTGTCAGGATGGCAAACCTCTTCTCATCAATGATAGGGAGTCTTCTATCTTCTTTCTCCATAATTACAGATGTTTTATGACACTATGTAATATTTCTTCTAATACATTTCAAGTTCTAAAAACATATATGGCAGTATCTGCCATTTAAAATGCTGACTGGTGCAATATTGCATATTGTAAGAAATGCAGACAAATCATAATTGTATTTGTTCAATTTAAATTCATCCCTATACTATGTTAAAACAATATTTTCCAACCGGTCCATCATTTTTTTTTCGTCACTACTTCTCATTACAAGATGCACATGTATGTCCTCCAATCTGTAACCTGGTGAAAAAGAAGAAAAAATATATAAAGATAATTTACTGTTGATTTTTGTCCTGGGCTTAGTTATCTTTTCTTTTCACACACAACTGTATATCCATATACATGTGTATGATTGGCAGTTACAAGCAACAATTTGTTACCACTATCAAATCATTTTGAGGATCATTGTTCAGACCAAATTTAAACACCCAACAACATCACTTTCATCAAAAAAAAGTGGCAAGGTTGTTTCTAAAATCCTTAAATTCATGAATTTTCAGAATCCTGGGTCTCACATCATATAAGAAATAGAGTAAATAGAGGGTCTTTGTCAATTTAAAGAGTCAAAATGAATTGTTGAGGGGAATTAGAGAAAATCTCGAATAAATCCTGAAAGAAGAACCAAAGACCAATAAGTAAATGTGTGTGTTGAAGTATACAAACTACTTTATATAGCTTCAGGAGTTGCTATTCAGTCTTTTTCTGTTCTGCAATTGTTTCAGCTTGCAGCCAATTGCAAGTTTCCATCAAGTACCTTCTGCTAGGCCTATTCCCTAAAGCTAATAACTAACTAAATTCTGGGCAAAATTGAATTCACATTTGTTTTAATGTTTAATATTCATGTACATAAATGTTTATGACTTTCAGATAAGTTCTTACTTTTTAAGGCACAAAATATACAGTGTATGTAACAGAGGCCATTATCTATTACAATGCCTTCACTAGGAAACAAAACCCAGGAACTTTGGCTTATTAGACTGGTGCTCAAACAATCAAGCTAAAGAGAAGTTCACTCTAGCTGAACAGTTTATTGGGGCTAGTATTTACCAGAGTTACATACTCCCCATACAGGAAAAAACTCAACCTAAAAATTTTCCTGGGGTTACAATGATGTCTGTGGGACAATGCTATGTATTATTCCCAAGTCCCTTTATTATTTATATGTGGGCACCGACATAACAGAGGTCATCATTTATGTTAATGTCTCTGCTAGGATTTGAACCTGGGACACTTGACTTTCTAGTCTGAGACTGACGCTCAATTGATCAAACTAAAGAGGAGTTCTCTCTAGCTTAGCAATATATGGAGCTAGTATTTACCAGGATTATATGTATAATAAAGGAAAGTCATTTCAATCAGGTTTTCAGGCATTTTGAGTAAGAATTTGGAAGGTAACGGGAGTAGTATTGAAGGAAGCAATTCATCAGGGTTCCAGTTTCTATGTATACAAACATCAACTGTTCCCTTATTATCTTTTTTAATCTGTAGGTCTAAAGCTTGGATCTGAAAAATACAGATCAGTATATGATAACTGAATTAATTATTCTTAAACGGAATAGAAGAACAAGCTTAAGCATAAAAAAATCACTCATTGAAATTTTGTAAAAAAAAATCCATAAATGATTATTTGTAATATCAGATAGGCTTTTCCATCTATTTGACATTGTTATTTTTCTTTTAACATTGACGTAAAACGCCAACTCACTTATCCACTCACAGTGGAATTAATATTATATTTATTCTGTAACACTGACATTTATTATGCATGATATAAATGTTTGTATTTGCTAAAACAAAGAAAAAAAAACAGAAAAATACTGACAAACGATGATCGATTATGAAAAGTAAAAACAGATTATACCCGATCAACGTTCCCATCGGTACTCAAAATAGATCAAGCCATAGTTACCCGCGGAGTTATTTCATGCAGAGGAGTTAAATAAATACTGTATACCGATACTACGACCCTTGTTCTTTAGCTCATTTGGTATAGCTTCTGCCTAATAATCAATAGCACAAGATATGAAAACTAACTGAGGCGTCGAGAAAAATGATTAACTATAGATATGTTGCAGGTCCGATGAAAACTGGAAAACAAAAGTAATGTCAGTAAAAGCGGTAAATGCGACAAGTATACACATAGACTATTTCTATCGCCTTCAAATGTCTCAAAAAGAAACTTTCATCTCTCTTACCTACGATTCAAGCTAATTTGATGAATGAAATAATGCATTTTGACTGTAAACGTTATCCGGCGGGCACCTGCTACTGCCCGTGTCGTCCATGTTTATTTTCAATGTTCACTTCCGGTTTTATATCCAGGTTTAGTTTCGTAGATAGCCGTGTTTTCTTCAGCATCATCAAAGTAGGTTCATAGCACATGACAGCTTAACTCGGTCGAAGCAGAGCTGTGTGTCATTTCGTTATTAAGGATATCGTTGAATTAAGTAAGTATATTTTCACATGATTTTTAAGCATTTGAGATTATATAAATGAGCGCAACAAAATCACGTCGTCTGCACGTGTTCGATCAGCAATCTCAGTAACTCCACAGGCGAGTGTATCGTGTGTGTGGAACAAGGTGTTTTGCAACAGGTCAGATATCAAGTTTGTATTGTACTTACGCTATGTCAGTCTTCTAAAAAAACAAATGTATTGTTTTATACATTATCGAATGATTCAAGAGGGATACTGTTAATTGTGTTATTACCAATTAGAGTGCATACATGTAATTTGCTCTCGCTGCAAAAGTGATGTATATGTCGTATGATAATACATTCCAGAAATGTTAGCTATTTACATGACAGCCACGAAAAGTTGAAAAAATCCATGTAATGAAGTAACAGGAGCGCATTTAAGTTTGCACTTTACCATTACTCGTTATTGATGGACAAATAAAAAAATTTCGGCTGTACATGTGCCACTCTGCACCATAATGAATGGATCATGAATAAAGCATACAAAGTGAATTTACAGTATAAATGAGGTGATTTGGTTCTCAAACTCTGTGGGAGCGATGAGCAATGGGTGAGCAGAAGGGATTAAAAACACCCCACAATGCCACCTGAGAGATGTTGCTGGAACATCGCTCTCGCAGCGATGTCCATTGATGAGGATTATATACAGCCTTCTCTTTACCTGGCCAATGTTGTACTAAGATCACTCCTGCAGGAATGGCGAGGGTTGAGGATTAGCAGCTAAGCAATAATATTGATCCTTTTACGTTGACGAGCTATGGATACTTTTTAGGCAATCTTTCATTCTATCGTTAGTTTAGAAATGTTTGTGATATTGTACATACTTTACAGAAATCATCATAGGTCTAACACGCATTCACAGTCCATTCTTAACATATGTTTCTCTTCTTTCATTTACAGTGACAATCCTAAGTTTGCTTTTTCATGTGCCAGTAAACTACATCAGTTTCATATTTTTGAAATATTACATAAGAAATTGTTTCAACTAAATACTGACTAGACAATTTTTTTGTCCATTATTAGTATACTATTGACCTATTTCCAGGTGGGCTGGTGTTTTCAAATGACAGGAATGATATAGAAAACACATTTCAAATTTATATTTGAATCATATTATATCTAATACTTAGTACAGGACTTTGTAATTATTATACAGATACAACGAAACAATGTGGAACGCTTATCAATTTTATAAACGGTCAACCTGAGCATCCTAACAAGTTGTATTCAAATGTACGTTAGCCAAACAAGTGACATTTGAAATTATTCAAATGGTGTAACACGTTTCCTGGTATGTGGTGACCAAAAACTTCCTTTTATGAAAGGAAAGATTACCAATACTAAATACTAAAATTGTCATCATTTTCATCGCGGTTACACTTAAATATTAATATACACAACTGTTCTTCATTATACAACGACCAAAAAAAAAAAAATAATAATAAAACAGTCATTCTATCCTTACATGTACCTGTAATTTACATATTTTAGAAATGGATTTTTCAGTTCTGCATATATGCTCTACCTGACATGTAGTATGTATTTGTTGACACTTGAAATGTATATCAAAAGTTGTAAATTATAAATATTGACTGAGACATAACACGCTTTGTGTTATATATATTTCTGATATTGCTATTTTACTTTTTTGACAAAGGTAAAATTTTATGAAATGCAGATAAGCTGAAACCACAGACTTAGATTGGAAATTAGTTTCCATTTTGGGTTTTATATAAAGGCATAGTTACAAATGTACACACTTGTTGTTATTTATAATTTTGATGGCAATATTTTATATACTGTGTAAGAGAGCTGGTTGCAATGCGACTAAGAGCCAAATCACCTCAACTATACTGTATATGCTTGCTGATGTGTGAATGCAATGAAAAAATCCTGTTGACTTCTCAGAATCTAGAATGCTTCTCAAAATTTAAATTTAGAATATTATTCAATGACTTAAACCAGACTAGACATCTTGTATGCAGACAGTAACCGCTAATCTTTCAAAAGGTCATCAGTGATTTTTGGTACACAAATATTTAAGTCCTGCCTGGCTCATGCTTTTTCTGTAGAACTCGCTTAAATTTTGAGAGCCCAATACATGTATATGTCTTTGTATTTGGAATCATCAAAATTTTTAAATACGTGCTATGGACTCCGCAGAAAAAATCCTACAAAAATGTTCATAGTTGGGAAAATACAGGACAGTTTTGGATTGGGACCCATTACGAGACCTTTCAAACACCTGCCCATAGAACCAATAAGATCAAATAGTGGTTTGTGTGAAGATCCATTTTGAATCCCTTGTTTATTTACAAATTTACACACTGCTCATAATTCGTTCATAAAGATGAAATTGTTCTACAGCGTGTAACATGTCTAAATGTTCACCATTAAGATGCCAGTGTTTCATGAAGTGTGGCAACTGTATATCTGTAAACAATGTATATACTCAGTTTGTGTCACTATGCATGAATAGCTTCAGATGACTTACTCATCTGTGACATCCTATGTCAGCACATAAATGTTGGTACATAAATATATACATAAATGTAGCAATAAAAATTTCTCAAATTTATTAAAGTTTGATGTTATTAAACAAATATCATTAGCTTGTAAAATATAGGGCATCGCCAGCATTCAGTAGTCATGGCATAACAGGATCGGTGTTAAGGCAAGGGTGTTTGGGGACATTATTCCTTCAAGGGTAAGATACAATCTGAAGACGGTTCGTGGTTACAACAGGAGTTACTAAAGTCACATTGAGTCTTCTTTCTGACTGATCAGGAAGAACTGTGGATATAAACATGTATTGGTACCAATATGACTTGGCTCTTTATACCTTTTAGGCCAACAGGAAATCTCATTTACATCCAACAGTGTGATAAGTTGTATCCCATTGTCACTATATTATACACTTGTGTGTACACTGGTGGAGGTACCTGATGCTAGATACACAATAAGCCTGAAATAAAACATGCATTAGCCATGTTAAGTTAGCCATATCTGCAAGATTTGTACCCTTTCCCATTCCAAGTCTTCAATGTTATTCACAAGTTGTCGTTTGAACTAACCTAAAAATTAGTTCCAAATTAAAATTACCTGATAAATGTGGTTACTAAAATATGATCGAAGGGAAGTGTGATTTCAAGAAGAGCTCAGTGATCTAACATGTGAAAATGATATGGTTGTCTGATGCAAAATTTAAGGATATATTTAAATTGAATTATGTGACTGTTCATAGAATTCCCTTTAAAATTGGAGTATTAACAACTTATGTGTAGCCATGTAACAAGCAGATTTTTACTTAGCATGTTATATCTTATATCTCAGAGTGCAACCCATTTATCAATTTGTGCTCACATTTAGATAATGCCTATTTCACATTGGATGCATGTTACTATGTGGAATAATACTTAATTGACAGCACAGTATAGTAAACACACTTACATGTGTAATGATAGCATTTTTAGTGCCTATGTTAACACAGGTAAGTGCTTTTGCACCACAAAATATGCATTGGCTATGTATACATGCCTCAGGCAAAAGAACAAAATATATTTATACTAAATGAATGCTATAACAATATTCAGCATTGGATATGCTATGTGATTTATCCCAAATATTGGAAAGGTTTGTGACATTATCATATATTCATCAAACTGGTACAGTGTTGGTGTCATATTGTACACAAACATCTACTTTTTTTTTTTGAGAAATTTAGAAAATGTTTTGGTTATATCCATGTTTTGACCGCATTATTATACCTTATTGTAGAAATGATACATTTGATTGACGATTCAGGCATATCTGATTTGGATCTGGATTTGGATCTGATAGATACATATTTAAACATGTATATGTCAAAACCCACATGTATTATATACCTTTGACGGGCAGCATATGATTTATTCTGACTGCATAAACATGTAAATACCTCATTTTGGATCAGATAACCTTAAAGGATAAAGAGTTATATATATGGGATGCACTTATTTCGGTTCTGAAACTTAGATAACTTCTAGTGAATAATAAGTTCTCAAAAGATTTTGAATCTTCCATATACATTTGTAATACATTATACAGAAACAAAGTTGAAACTAGAAATTTTTGACACGTCCAGTACTCTCCTGCATCAACACAAGGGCATGCAACAATACAAATCCTCCACCCCAAGAAATATTGTTATATGCTGGGGTGAGCAATATGGTCAAAGAGAAACTCACACAGTGCTCTGCTCTCCTGCTGTGCCATGGCCTCAAAAAAGCTTAAACAAATTCACTAAGGTCAAGGTCATCAACATAAAAAATTAACATGTTTTAACATGGTGTTCAGGCTAGTTGTGAGTAAACCTGGTAAATACTAGCCACAATATAAGCCTCAGCTAGAGAGAACTTCTCTTTAGCTCAGTCAGTTGAGTGTCAGACTAATAAGCAAGGGACCTCAGGTTCGAATCCTAACGACAGCATTGAAATAAATAATGACCCCTGTTACATTCAGCCGATGTAGGGACTCAGTAATAATATTTAGCTTTGTCTCACAGACATCGCTGTAATCTCTGGAAACTCAAGTTATTTCCTGCAGGAGGAGTTTGTAACCTTGATAAACACTATACCATTCGGCTAGAGATAACTTCTCTTTAGATTGATCGTTTGAGTGTCACACTAGCAAGTCGGGGGCTCCAGGTTCAAATCTTAGCGGGGGCATCGAACTAAATAATGACCTCTGTTATATGTGTAAACGTGGAAAGTTAGGAGACCGTTGCTGCAGTGTACAGTCCACCTGAAATAAAAACAGCAAGAACTCAACCTAAGGTCAGTTTTGTATTAACCTTCTAGGAACTATAATTGCATATAATTGCAGTACATTTATTTAAGGGTAACATTGTTGAATTTGTTATTTGTTTCAAGTATAAAGAGAAAAAACAATAGAACTTCTTCAATTTATAGCAACTGACGATTAATTTAGTCATGTTTATGTTAGAAATAGCTCATGTGCTAATATTGTGTTCTGTTATAAACTGTGGTGACTGAAATATCACAGAGGTTGTTTACTCTATACTCTGGATAGCTGGTGTGAATGTGGTTGATTAATGGGACTGTTACCTACAAATGTAGTACACATCCTTCATTACCGAAAAGATACCACTAAAAACTGGTACATAGCTGGTAGAAAAAATATACCGCTGTAGTAAACTTGAGATGTAAATCTACACAATTATATATAACTCGATACAAAACTGGTGTACCATGAAACGAGTGACCTTGCCAAATGATGCTTTTGTTGTGTATGTCATGTGTTTGAGGTAAGTGTGTATGGATTACATCTACTCTTCATGAAAATGTTCCTAAATTTGAAATTAAGTAAATAAAAGATTAACCAATTTTTTTTTATTTTAAGAAACTTGACAATGTACCAGGTACTTAACATGCTTAAGACAAAAGAAAAGAGAATTTTTTTGAGGATTTTGACTGATAAAATTCGGATGAATTGATGTGTAATATATGTGTCAGTCTAAATAAAGTAGCTATAGGAGATAGTATATCTCTGTTCAACTGGTACTTGTGAATTGATGGGTCATGACAGATGGTACTGAACAGGAGCTAGCATACAATGTAGTGTATATGTAGAGACACAAGTGATCAATAAGTGTAAACAAGATAAAAAAGGCAAATCATGTAATATTTCCCTTGATGTATCTGTTATGCAATACTAATTTTGTTTTAGCTATCATTACCTGTATTCTCCAATTCAGCCTTATGTAAATGAACATGTGCTTTGGTAACTATACACTATGGACGAAATTAATATAAGGCTGTCCAATTCAGCCTTATGTAAATGAACATGTGCTTTGGTAACTATACACTATGGACGAAATTAATATAAGGCTGAATATAAGATAACATGGAGAAAGAGAGAGAGATTCTGTGATATCTGTGGACTTTGGACTCACACCTGTAAAACAGGATATAGTGAAAAGTGTTTACATGTTTAACTGTAAGCAGAATTCAGAAGGACATAAACATCAATGTATCAAGGACAGCTCTTTATTTAATTGTAAGGGGATCCATATCTGTAACTTTGCATTATAATCAACAGCAGATTCAACTGAAATGTGTCATTTATCAGGTACACATATTGTAGAGAATTATCATTATTCAATGTATTTTTAAAAGAGCTTGTACTTAACACTGGAATATATATATATACCGGTATATATATGCAGATGATTATAATTTATGATTGACAACAGATTCTCAACAGAACGTGTCATTCAGCAGTATTTTTTTCAACAGAATCTTGTGATTTATTTTTGTTGGTTGCTATATTTTGTGTGGTCAGGGAACATCACTTTCCTGGTGTGGTCAGTGGTGATGTTGCACATAATGTATGGAAAGTCTAACATAGTTTTTCTAAAAGTTTATCCTATGAGAAGACTTTTTCCATGTCGGTAATGTACAGTATGAATTAACCTGATATATGGTACATTGTAAATATATGGTTTACTTGGTTTACCTGCAATATATTGTTTAACATGTATGTGGTTTACCTGGTACATTCTGGTTTACCTGCAGTATATGGTTAACCTGGTATATGGTTTACATGGTATATGGTTTATCTGGCACATGCTGGTTTACCTGGTATATGGTTTACCTGGTATATGGTTTATCAGGTACAAGCTGGTTTACCTGGTATATGGTTTACCTGGTAATGCTGGTTTAGCTGGTATATGGTTTATCTGGCACATGCTGGTTTACCTGGTGTATGGTTTATCTGGTACATGCTGGTTTACCTGGTGTATGGTTTATCTGGTACATGCTGGTTTACCTGGTGTATGGTTTATCTGGCACATGCTGGTTTACCAGGTATATGGTTTATCTGGCACATGCTGGTTTACCTGCAGTATATGGTTTACCTGGTATATGGTTTACCTGGTATATGGTTTATCTGGTACATGCTGGTTTACCTGGTATATGGTTTATCTGGCACATGCTGGTTTACCAGGTATATGGTTTATCTGGCACATGCTGGTTTACCTGCAGTATATGGTTTACCTGGTATATGGTTTACCTGGTATATGGTTTATCTGGTACATGCTGGTTTACCTGGTATATGGTTTATCTGGCACATGCTGGTTTACCAGGTATATGGTTTATCTGGCACATGCTGGTTTACCTGCAGTATATGGTTTACCTGGTATATGGTTTATCTGGTATATGGTTTATCTGGTACATTCTGGTTTACCTAGTATATGGTTTACCTGGTACATGCTGGTCTACCTGCAATATATGGTTTACCTGATATATGGTTTACCAGGAATATGATTTACCTGGAATATGGTTTACCTGATACATGGTTTACCAGGAATATGGTTTACCAGGTATATGGTTCACCTGTAAGTGTTTGGTTGCCCACAGCTGATAAATAGTAGATATACATTTTTTATGGGTCTTAAACATGATCTTACATTAGGTAGGGATACACAACTAAATGCATGTAGCTACCATATGATACAACACTCTGGTCATGATTATCTATATTATAGACACTTGGTGGATTACACAGAAAGGATGATGCGGATGGCCAACACTACAAGTACAATATAAAAAAAGGGGTCACTGAAAAGTAATTACCAGTTTCAATGCATGTAAATATAGCATGTCATTTGTATATTCATAATATTAGACAGGAGGTCTAAATTTAGACTACAGTCTATATACCCAAATGCTGTTCACTTGTTTCAAAGATATAACTAAACAATAGGAACTTTTATTGCTAGACCTGTATAACCAGATCTGTTCATTACATTTCTGCTAGGTATGGTATTTCAAATTATAAATTTTTATACACTATTTATTGACTACAATAACGTTTTCTGTGTTTGTGGCAAGTTAAGGATTTTCTTGTTACATGCAATAACAATATGCAGGCTCTGAGAGGGAAATAATTCCACACGAGTTAAGTGTTTCAACTGAACAGAGATTTGATAGAGTTGAACTTTTTTTTTCAACATATTTCCTGGAAAAGTGGTATTTTGAGTATCTGTCTGACTCTGTTTGTTGACAGTGTTTCCTTTTCATAAGAACTTCACAAACTATGTCAAAAACATATGATATGAAATGTAAACTCAATTAACATTCTGTTTATTACATTTCTAAAATTTGTTACAAATTTTTCTCATGCTTTCTACATACTGACAAGAACCTAGAATATTAGCATTGTCACTGTCAGACTTCTTATCACTTCAATCAGATAAGATAGAATATTACCATTGTCATTGCCAGACATCTTTCACTTCAGTCACATAACAGCACTATAACACTGACTCTATGCAGAGGTTACTTAACTTCATTGAATCAGAAGGAAATTTGCTGCCTTTGTTATTATTAAATGCAGGTTCAATAAGTTAACATGATTGACATAATTGTGGTTGACACTGATAATAAACTGATTTTCTATTTCAGTCATAAGAATATCTGTACCTAGGATTCTGAGGGAGTTGACGAATTAAAGCTAGAGTTAGGACCTTTCAGGACTGCTGTGATGCTGCGACTGCAAGCACAGGTCTCTAAACTCTGCCTTGGAGGAAGGAACCAACTGCTCTCAGAAGTAGGGGCCACAAAAAGGCCTTGTCATGGCTTCCGACTTCCAAAGGGAGTCGCAGCATACTCGGCACATAGTGCGAGTGTTGTACCTAAGACTGATGAACGGGTGATTAAGAAACTTATGGTGGCCAACAGAGGTAATAATAAAAAGTCATGTCGGTTGGTGTAACATGTAATAACTGTAATAACTAATATGTCTTAATATTTAAATCTATTTTGATTTCCATCTTGTTTTCAATATATGATATAAACTAGTTACCATTCTATGATATAAACTAGTTACTATTCTTTCTGGATCAGAAATACATTCTTGATATTGAAAAGTACTGATATCCAAAATCTTCTGTGTATTCCTCCTTGTCATGTACGCCTTCTCTCCACTATGTACTCTGTAAATAAGATAATAGTATTGCTGAGTACTTCTAGCGTGCTGTGTGTAGCAATAAATCACAAGTTACAAAGGAAGAGAAATATTTTACTTTATAGTCATGTGTGGGCCTCTCAAAGTCTCTGACCCCAAAATGACTTGACAAGAAACATATCCAGAATGGTCTGAAGCCTGATACATTTGATTATAGAATATAGTTACAAATTATGGTTAGATGATAGTACTACCTATATTAATAATGTGTAGAGATGTTGATTTATATGTATTACATAAATACATGAAAATTTAACTGTTATTAATTAACAGTACAGTTATGACTCATAATGACTGGTTATCCACAATGCTATGATAAGTAATGACTTTATATTTCATAGGCGGAGTTAGACAAATTCCCCTGGACAACAGGTTGTTGTTTCAATTTAATGATCTCATTGTGAGGTTTAATTATTTGTACAGGACCATCTTATTTGTAACAGATAAACATGGTTTTTGACTACGTTAAGTGTAGTGAATTAAGTATAGGCCTGTGTAATCTGTTCTCCCTGTATGTCTGTGAATGAGTCTGTGTGCTCTTGTCTTTATGCTGACTACCCATCAATTATTTAATTACTACCTTCAACAGACTGATGCCATGGTGCACAAAAAGTAGTCTAAACGTACTAATGACATCTAAATATACCTAACTTTGTGTGTAGAACTCTGAGTTGATCACAGACTATTACGATAATGGTAGGTTGTACAAGACAGATAATGACATCTGTTTTGAGCATTATAGCCTGGCATTAAATAGCATTCACCTGTCCATATCTAATCAATATTACTTCACAGACATCTTTGTCAATGAGTACTATACTATATCCCTCTGTACAATCAGGCTGTTTTGTTTAGGCTGCTTGGGCCCCAACACTCCATAACAGTGAAAGCTTAAATCAATACCCCATCAGCACTTCACTGCAAATAGATAACTCAACATTTTTTTTTCTCACATCCCAAATCACATTTGGGAGTTCGTCTTTAATGGATGTGTTTGCTTTTTATTAGAAAATAAGAATCAACTGTTAATATTTTTTTGATCTTTAGTTAATATTTACTGGATCGTGTTAAGTGTATAGGTTGTGGTTTGGTGAAACTGAAAGTCATCTCAAGGTCAAGTTATTGAAACAATGTATTGTGGTGTATTGATCTTCCTATCCACAGACAGAGCAGAATGATTTGATTATGAACGCAGCATCTTTATCTTAAGGATGCTTGGCCATTTATTAACAATAGTACTATTTCAAATATAATCAGACTTGTTCATTGTTGACCATCAGGATGATAGGAACGTTCACTGGCATGGATCGTTCTAGTGTCAAGGAAATTAAATAATAAAATAGCAAATAAAAGATGTGGTCCCATGGGACAAACAATAAAAAAAATGGAAATAATTTTCATATTATTTCTGCATATGTGTGAAGGAATTCTATTTTAACATATATATGGTAGATCTTCCATTAAACAAGGGAATTCTCTACATTAAATGAGGAGACCTGATCCTCCTGGAGGGGAAGGTGTTAACTGGTATGGTACTGACAATAGGATTAAGACACACAGATCTATCTATAAAAGAACACTACTGATTAGTGAAGGTATGAAAGGATCCAAATCTAGTTTGGCCATAATATTCTGTGGGCCAAGGCTAGGGCAGTTAAAGGGAATGGTAAAAGAAAATTAGGAAAGACTGCTTCGAGGATAAACATATTGGGATCATCTGCCTTAACACATGGGTTTTCCCTTGGTACTCTGATTTCCTTGCACAGGTTACTCCCCTTGACTACTTTCATTCAGTCAAACAAGAGTGGCTGATCAAAGCAGATACAGGTAGCTTGTTTCATAATTGATGTAAAATAAGTAAAGAAAGTTTCTGTACTCCTGAGATAATGAATTCTGATGAAAGTCAGGATTTGAAACTAGTTTAAAATCATTAAAGCCAAAAGGAAATTTTCTATAGTTTTTATGTATAAATTAAACCTCTAAAACATTTTTGGCTGCCCTATTTCTTACAAACAAAAGTTAAATAAACTAAGTACCTACAACAAATATTTTTCTTGTGGATTTGAAGAACAATATGGCTATCTTGACCTTTATTGAAGTCTTGTCATATGCTTAATTTCCAACAAGTCAGTAAACAAATTTTATATAATGCTTTCATGGTTGATATCCTGACTCATGGAGTTGTAGATTAAATAGAAGTATACAATGACCACCTCTTCTTGTAGTTTGTGTAACACTTTTTAGCAAGTGGTTTTTATAGGCCAATTTTGTTGTGATTTTCTTTTAAAATGATAAAATCATATTTTAACCAATTAAAATTTCCCAATCTGGATGTAAATGGACATCTCATACTCAAGTGTGTCATCATTTCAAGAAATAATTTTTGGGATTACTTGCATGTACAGCAAAGTAGCGAAAATATCATTTCCACAAAACAACCCATCTAGATGGTAATAAAATAATGAGATTGACTTAAAACATCAAATTTTCTTGCCATTGCCTTTACTGATTGCTTTTATAGTACGCACTTAACAACAGATTTAGTTAAAATAAAATGATTGTGGAGTCAGATGGGAAGGAGGGGTCTGGCAGAAGTGAGAGAGAGTGTGTTTAGCTTTAAGTTATCTTCACTATAAAATATGTATAGGTATATACTTGGGTTTTTTCCTTTATACTCCAACGATTTTGGCAGTTATGACTACCTTTGCACCAAAATATGACGACACACTTAATTCATTTGTTCATTTATTGGTTGATCATCAATTAAAATCCAGAATTTATAAAATGTACGAGATTTGACATTCATTGAAGAGTCACTATGCTGAATGTACTTGGTCTATACAACTGTTGTTTGTAGTTTTTCTTAAAAGTTAAAAAATAGATATGGATAAGCTAATTATAGGGTTTCAGTAATGTCTTGAATTCCTTTGCAAATGGCCCTTAGCTGTAGTAGGACACACTGACTTTTAACCTGGTGTGAAATAAAAGTCAATGCTTTAGGACACAGTTGGATATACACAAATTAAAAGATACTATACATAATGTTGACTGTAGATCCAACAGACAAAACAAGAAAATGAATATTCAAAAAATGAAATTAGTGTTAAATCAATGAAATATCTTATGAAACTGAGCAGTCGTTGACATTTCTTTATTACAATACATATCATTATGTGTGTGTTATATTGTTTTCAGAAACCCACATCCAAACCTGGTTGGTGTTTTGCAAATTAAATTTATAAAAACTAAGACCAAACCCAGAGGTACATTTTTGCCGTCTTGGAGATGGAAACTATAAAACTATGAGTAGTGTCCCACAAATTGAAGCAAGGTTTTACAAAATGTATTTAACTCATTCAGTGATTTGCAGCAAAGGTCTTCACGAAGAATCACTTGATCTTGTTGCAGGTGAAATTGCCATTCGTGTGTTCCGAGCATGTACGGAAATGAACATTCGTACTGTGGCCATTTACTCAGAGCAGGACATGATGCATCTGCACCGACAGAAAGCCGATGAATCATATATTATAGGCAAGGGTCTGCCTCCTGTGGCTGCCTATCTAAACATCCCAGATATCATCCGCATAGCCAAGGTCAGTCAAGGTCATGAGATATGTCATTTTTTAATTGTATTTTCAAAGGTATAGGGAAAAGATGAGTGTAAAAAGTATTCCAAAATTTACGTAAAAGTACTCCTTTGTGCTGTATATTTGTTTAATTTTGCAGGGTTAATATTTCGCGAGTTGTAACTTTCATACATGTTTATTCACTGGTGTCCATGTATACAGGAATAAGAAGATATATTTTCAGATTTTCATTCATTATAGAAATGCTTACTAGGTACTTAATTTCATGCAATCTTTATTTACTGTGAATAGTAAAATGAAAGCGGCTTCAGATTTTACCAATGGCTGTAAACCAAGAAAGTTTGTGCGGATTTACTTTTGTGAATGATAATCCTCCATCATAGAATTCACCCGCTATTTGATTGCTACGTTGGCCATGACAAGTGAGCCTACTGTAGGACGTTTGCAGGACACAGGTCATTAGTGACCTGTTCATTGACTGGAGGGACTTGTGACACTTTACAAACAACATATGGTACAATATGCAAAAGAATAAATCAAACCAGTCTTATTCACTTTTAATTCATTGGAAGTCTTATGTTTTTGTTTAAATAGCAATGTGATGGTTGATCAAAGTTATTTAAAAGCGTGGCTTCATAAAAGGTAACCCAGACAAAGAATTCAAAAATGCTACAGATCTCTCTTAGAATGTTTCATTTGCCAAACATGAACACTCAAGGTGAGAAATTGTCCTCAACTCTTAGTTTGAAGAACATGTTACAGCTGTATGTACTGTTCAAATATCCTGCTGTCCAGTCACTGCATTGTTATTGATATGAGAGATTTTCTATAAGAACTGGTTTATGCTGTTATGGTTGTGTCCAAGGATAAGACACTTTACCCTAATTGTTCTTGATGGCACGCAATGGGCCTCCTGTATGTTGTTCAGTAAAGAGGGCACCAGTTACTACAAGACCCAGGCCCACCTCTAAATGACCTTGGCTCTTCATGGGATCGTAAAACCCAGCAAACAAATTCTATAAGATTAAAGTCAAAGTTTCTAAATAGGACAAGGAAATTCTGAATTGCATTAAGTATGAGGGATATACATGGATAGGAACAGCAGGACCTTGATGACCTGTTAACATTCTGGTTTGATTATTTGATGGTTTACAACTGTACACAGGGAAACATTGGCTGAGGGTGTATTTCCCTTCAATAAAGTGTTTCATTTTAATATAAAGTTAAATGCACCCCAAAGAAGATAAAGAAACATGTTTTAGCTCTAACCTCAAAATTTCACCCACATTTTATCTTTGCCCAAATGGTCAAAAGATGAAATAGGTGAAATCTATGCCATGGCAAAAGTTTTCCTAAATGTAGTATTCATTTTAAACACATAGACTTGGGTGTAAGTTGTAAAGGATATGATTCTTAAAAAACTTCTCTAGATACTTAATATATTTCCATTTTCAATGGTGAGTATATGTTTTTCTGTGTACACTGCTCCTGCCTGTAGTTATCTATACATTTTGCCATTTTTTCAGGAGAATGATGTTGATGCTATACATCCAGGGTATGGCTTCCTGTCAGAAAGATCAGACTTTGCACAGACGATAATTAATGAAGGAATTAAGTTTGTGGGGCCGTCCCCAGAGGTAGTACGCAAGATGGGGGACAAAGTTGAGGCCAGACAGGCAGCTATTAGTGCAGGTTTGTCAATCTCTTGGTCAATTAGCTGGTGTATCTTTAATCTTTTTGTATACACTAGACTAATAGATGAAAAGGAGCATAAGATATCTTTCAAATGATTTCTTCTTACAAGTTGGAAGTTCTACAAATTAAAAAAAAAAATGAAATACACGGTAGATGTAAACTGATCAATTAAATGTTGAAATGCATCAATCTGTGTTGTAGGTGTTCAGGTGGTACCTGGAACAGACAGTCCAGTACAGTCTATAGAAGAAGCTAAGGAGTTCTGTAAGCAGTATGGCCTACCTGTCATTTTCAAAGCTGCTTATGGTGGTGGAGGAAGGGGCATGAGAGTTGTCAAGAGTTTCAATGTAAGTACTTTGCAGATCACAAGGAAGGGGAAAGGCGGGGTCGAAAGACTTGTCAAAGCGTTCAGACTGATGTTGTGTCATGGAGTCAGATACAAGTTTGCTTTATTGTTTTGCTAAACTTCCTTCAATTTTCATTATTTTGGTCCAAGGTCACCAGTAGAGAGGATGAGAATTTTCATTGCTTTGGTCCAAGGTCACCAGTAGAGAGGATGGGAATTTTCATTGTTTTGGTCCAAGGTCACCATTAGAGAGGAATGGAAGGGTATAATGGAAGTATCGATGTAATTATTTCATATTTAATAATCATTAGCAGAAGGGAAGTGTAAAAAAATGTTCCGCAGACTTTTTGTAATGCTTCAAGGTCATATCTTGGGACAGAGAAATGGATGGAGGCAATGATTACCAGTGTATTTAACCCACCATCATTAAATGGGGGTGAGGGGGGGGGGGGTGTTCAAACTATACTTTGTTATCATTTAGATCATTTTTAAACTAAATTTCAAACATAAGGTTCACCTTGGTCCTTATTTGTACATAACCCATATTGAGACTGATCAGAAAAACAAGATGGCAGACAGAGAGCTGGTTCTTGGTTTTTGACTGTCAAAATTTGTTATCGTTATTTCTGGAAGTACTGAATGGATCTTTCCCAAATTTCCTATATATGTTCCCTTACGTTCCTTGTTGTGCCCTCAGCAAAATGGAGTTTTGAGTAGGAAAGATTGCAAATAGCTATTTCATTAGAAGTACAAAATTTTCCATCTTAGATATCATATATAGGTTCCCCTTGGTCCCTAGTTGTGCCTGTTTGATTTCTGGACTGATCAGAAAAATACAATGGCTGACAGGTGACCAACTTGGATTTTGACAATAAAAGTTTGTGATTGTTGTCTCTTGAGAAGTACTGGATAGATCTTAATCAGTTTTCATGTGTAGATTCCCCATGGTCCCTAGACAGGCAGTTTTGATTTTGGTTTTTTTTTTTTTTCGAAAATAAATTGACTAACAGAAGACCATTTTTTATTTGACAGTTGAAGATTAATATCACTATTTCTTCTGAGGAATTTTCAAATAGAAAAGAAAAGAAGACAAAAGAAAGAAAGAGATCCAAATATTTGAAGGCCAAACAATAGTGGGAACCAAGATCCACTTTTATGATAGAAATCCTGGCTGTAACATACATGAAAGATGTGTTTTCTGTAATGTATTTAGAATGGTTGAATATTCTATTTATGGAAGATCAAATATGTTGTGTTTATATATGTAGGAGATTGAGGAGAATTTCAAAAGAGCTTCTTCTGAAGCTGAGGCAGCATTTGGAAATGGTGCTTTATTCTTGGAGAAGTTCATAGAGCGTCCGAGACACATAGAGCTCCAGATCCTAGGTAAGTAAATACAAGATTAATTTAAACAAAGAGATGATTAATTGTTGTAAGTTGATCTCATTGATTGTTGTATGGTTGCTCATATCCCTAATCCCTAACCTTTAGGACTGAATCATCAAACTTTTTAAAACAAGATTACTTTTAACTGGTGTAGTATTGTCACCATTGATGAAAATTGGCTTTTCTCTACTCATTTGGTAATGGGCTTTTTTTATCTCATATTGAGAGAAAAAATCGGTGATTGAGACAGAAATGTTCAGGAGTTATATATTTTGGCAATTTGGTCATATGAAAAAATAAATTTTAATTTGGAATGGGGCCACTGGAAAAAGACCTGAAATTACAAAAGAAAAATGTGCATTAAAACTTCAAATTTATGTAACATTATAATGCTAGAGAAAGTAAGAAAGATAATTATATAAAGACTTGATGATAATTCACTGTTTTAATGCAATAGGTGACCGAGAAGGAAATGTTGTTCATTTGTATGAGCGTGACTGCTCTGTACAGCGTCGCCATCAGAAAGTGGTGGAGATAGCCCCTGCCCCACACCTGTCACCAATCATTCGCGATAAAATGGCATCTGATGCAGTTGCACTTGCTAAACATGTTGGCTATGAGAATGCTGGTACAGTGGAGTTCCTGCTGGATAACAATGGCAACTACTACTTCATAGAGGTCAATGCCAGGCTTCAAGTGGAACACACAGTTACAGAGCAGGTCACAGGGTAACTGATCATGTTATAGGGTACAAAATTCTATATAGGTCAGTGCTATAGTAGAGGTTACAGGGTACAAATTTTATATAGGTCATTATTGTTATAGAGGTCAGAGGGTACAAATATTATGTAGGTCAGTACTGCTGTAGAGCTCACACAACAAAAATTCTATATATAACAAGCCAGCACTGTTAATAAGATAGGTGAGTACTATCACAGAGGTCATGGGGTACAATTTCCATATAAGTCAGTGCTGTAACAGAGGTCATGGGTTACAAATCTATGTAGATTAAGTGCTGTTACAGAAGTCATATGGTACCATTTCCATGAAGGTCAGTAATGCTACAGAGGTCACGAGGTACATTTTCTGTATAGGTCAGTACTGTCATAGAGGTTACAGAGTAAGTGTTTTATACTGATCATGTCATATTGTATAAAGGTAAAAACTCTGTACTTAATATTGTCACTGAGGTCACAAGGTACAATCTCTCTTATGCCAAACTCTGGATGTATCTTCTATAGGGATGTAAATACATAATTTTTTGTGTTTTGTAGATTTAACGTGTTATAGACATCATTTTATTCTGTGCCTTGTAGGGTTGACCTGGTGCAGTCCCAGATAAAGATAGCAGAAGGTTATACCCTCCCACAGCTTGGTCTTCAGCAAAAGGACATAGACCTTCATGGCTACGCCATACAGTGTAGAATGACTACAGAGGACCCCGCCAAGAACTTCCAGCCAGACACTGGTCGTATAGAGGTACAACTATTTATTTCAGAATACTCATATATATGTAATGAAATTGATTAAAACTTCTAATTGAACCACCTGCATTTCCATCAGAAGTTTCTAGTGTGTTGGCTGGATTAACAAGGATGGAATATGAAGTCACAGTATCAGTTCTATCTGGATTAATGAAGTAGGATAGTGGGCCACTGGTTATGTGTTGCTAGAAATATGGACAGACAGATTAGGGAGGCTGGATTTTGTAATAACTGTAACAGTGATGACAGGATACTGAGATTGTGTACGTAGATAATCATGGTTATGATGGCATGGTTAACAAATTTTCATACTAAAAATTTTTTTAAAAATAGCTGTGGAATCCTGTTTTTTATGATCATATTTGAAGATATTTGATATATTACAGCTTATGCTTTAATATTTTACTTAAATATTTTATTTATGTTGAAAGTTAAGGAGAAGTAAAAGTTAGCAAAAGAAATTATACTATTTGCATTATGGTAAAATGTTTATACTGTATCCATATGATTTACACACAGGTGTTCCGCAGTGGAGAGGGAATGGGCATACGACTTGATGGTGCTTTAGGATTCGCTGGAGCTATTATCTCCCCTTATTACGACTCGTTACTGGTGAAGGTGATTGCTCACGCCTCAGATCACCCATCAGCTTGCGCCAAAATGTTGCGGACTCTCCGTGAGTTCAGAATACGTGGTGTAAAGGTTAGTGAAAATATGTAGCTTGTAGCTTACTGGAGTCAGTGTAGAGTTAAGAATGTGGGATATTATAATTGTGGCCTACTTATTCATTGAACACTTAGAGAAAGAGGCTAAACTATGGCCCCCATAGAGTGCATGCCCAGTCTGTGGAAGCAATATTTTGATGACATATTGGAAATAGTAAGAAAAGGGTCACAGTAGATACCACCAATAGCATCAAATTCACCTGTGAGGAAGAAATTAATGGCGCTATGCCATTCTTTGACACCCTCCTAGTTAAGAAAAGTGATGGTACTATCAAAGTATTGGTCTATAGGAAAAAGACGCACCACCCCTGACACTAGACGTTGGGAATTGTACGAACCTTGCTCAACAGATGAGAAACAATTGTCACAGAAGCAAGACCAAAATCACATCCAGAGTGCCATGAAAGCATGTGGATACTCTGATTGGGCAATCCGGAAAATCAACAATGAATTTGAAGTTAGCAAAAAAACAAGGAAACACCAAGGGAAAGAACAAAACGAAAGGACAAATAGTCATCCCATCAAATATCTGTCGAAAACTATTCAGAAGATTTATTGTGTGAGCAGAAACATTCACAGTCCCAGATCAATAAATCTGCACAAACATGTTATTTAGAACATTTTAGAGCCAATTGATATCCATGAAAATAAGTAGAAGTGGGTTATAACAATGTGGAGTCCATTAATATTGGTGAAAACAAGTTGAAGTTGATCAGAGCAGTGGAAAGTGTTGATATCCATGAAAATAGGTAGAAGTTGATCAGAAGAAAACATGTTAAACAATTAATGTTATCAACAAGGCATCAGGGTCAGTGTGTACCTGTGTAACTTTTGGTTGCATTCATTGTCCTATACAGTGTTAATGCATCTTGTTACAATTGATTAATTTTGAATCTATGATCATCACTTGTTTCAGACAAACATCCCATTCCTGTTGAATGTTGTTCAGCATCAGCAGTTCCTATCAGGTTCTGTAGACACTTACTTCATTGATGAGAACCCACAGCTCTTCTCCTTCGAGCCCACCCAGAATCGAGCCCAGAAACTACTGCACTACCTAGGACAGGTGATGGTAAATGGACCACAGACTCCCCTCGCTACACCACAGGAACCGTCTGAAATCATTCCTTCAGTCCCTGAGATTCCCTTCAGTAGGTATTTTTACATACGTGTTGCGAAAGTGTTTTTAGACCAGTTTAAGTTGTCTAAGCATTTCCAGAGTAATGTACTTGGAAAATCTCAGATATACTTCATCATAAATGATCAGGACAATGTGAAATGGCTTTCTCATTGTTCTTAAAACAGATCTTATGTCAAAATGTCATTCAGCAGACCAGTGTTGTAGATAATGTAGATTTGACTAGCTGGTTTTGTAATGATAGACTTTCCTATCATTATAGTATTACTTTTCTACATGTTGTTTTGAAACACTAGATATAAGATAATAATATTTAGGTATGTTTTATATTTCTGAATACTAGTTTTTGCTTGAATACAACAAGGAACATGAGAGTACTGTAAAAAGCTTTGAAGAACTATATAAATTTTGTAGTATTATTCCAATCTTGTTATTTCTTTCTGTTGCTGGTAGTTAGTGTTCTATGGAGGATTTCTTTATTATGCTTTTTTCCTGCTCTACAATCTTGTATGAAATGCCTGTACTATTTTAAGCTGTATTGTGCTTTGTCCTTATGTAGTTGTAGTGGATGATATCAGAAATAATGGTAAGAAAATCTTTACCCAACCTAGATATTATTGGCTCCTGACAAAGTTTGATGACCATGCCTCCTATATACAGTGGACTTACATTATTCTGGTCACTAGTAGTTCAGAAAAGTCACAGTCTGGACAGTGAAAATAGATCTTCACAATATAATGATACTCACTAGTCCAGAAAATCAAAGCCTAGATCCAGAATTGCTTTTGGAGAACATTTTTCTCTTTTCTCTTTACCACTACCAATTTTACAGCAGTTCTTTAACTATCATTTGTCATTAGCAATTAAATATTGTAATTTTCAGTCAAAGGGAAAGTAAGCTCATCAGTTGCACATCATCCTGCCATCTGATACCAACTTTTCCTTTAAAAGAGTTATTATTGTCTATTGATCTGTATTGGTATGGCATGTATGAGCATGAAGCTTTTTGTAGAATTAATGAATTGTGCAGAGATCCTTACATTGTAGAGGCAAGCTATTGGAATTCCTCAAAATATTTGTTGTGTGGTATTGGCTATCATCAATTTTCCTTTATGCTGTTCTTTGATAGAATCTGATCATTTGATGATAAGGCAGCTTAGAAATTCATATTTAAGTAATTAAATGGTAATATTGAAATGCACATGCAAATTTTTGTGTTTGTTGTTGAATGCTAAAAGCTCAAACCTGTAAACATGGGTGTTGATGGTAGTGGAGTGTATTGTCCTATTGAGCTAGTCCATACTCACTCTTTATTTGACAACAAAATTTATTTTGCATTAACGGATAATAGCTCTATATTATACTGTATTCTGCAGTTTATAAACAAGACTATTGTTTAGGTTCTGTGTAACAAGAATTATCAAAATCCAGAAAGAATGGACATATTTAAAATGCAATGTGAACATTCTTTGTGTGGCCTGATTATCACGTTTAATCAATTACATTTCAGAAAGGGAAGATTTGAGTAAGTTTATGTGCACTTCATAGGTTGTAAGTAACAATATATATACAGTACATCATCCTGATACATCAAGATTCTAAATTACTTCAGATTTACTTCCTCCAGCTCGACCTACTGGTTGGTAAGCTGATAATAATGAGCTTCGGTAGCTTAATAACATAGATATTTTGCTTTGTTGATTAATTGCCTAAATCTAATGTTATAAGGTTGTCCGTCTTCTTCTTTCTTGTTTTTAAACTTCTCTATGTATTTATTGATAGCCTTCCTTTGTCTTGTTTCTAAATTTATATACTTCCATCATAGTCCGATGGTGGGCTGTTCATATTGAACCTTGTCCATGGTCCATTGTCTGTCCTTGAACTAACCTTGTTATCTCTATTTTTTGAGATGTTAAGGATAGATCTTTTCTAAATGTCATATATAGATTTCCATTGGTCTCTAGATGTACAGAAAAATAATGACCAACAGGTGGCCATCTTGGATGTTTTTGATTGATACCGTTTGTTGTTACAATTTCTTAAGAAATTCTTTTCGGACCAGTTTGAAATTCCATGACAGGCAACCGATGTTATTGCTATTTCTAAGTAAGTACACTATGAATCAATCTCAGATTTTATAAGTTATCTACCCTTGATCTACTGTTATGCATTTTTCATCTGAAGACTGATTGTAGGGGGAAAACAAAGTCCACAGACAACAATTGGTGTCAAAGTTATGAATTTTCAAAGCTTCAACTTATAAACTTTTCAACTGATCTGATCAAAATTGGGTGTAAAAATGGGGCTAGTGCCCTAATTGTGCCATTTGCTGTTGGCAAGATTTCGTTTTTTATATCTTTCTCCTTCCATCAAAAGAAATAATCACAAATGCTTAAGTTCACTGTTTGCTGGCTTTTGTGGACTGCATGTTGACAACTGATCTCTGCAACTACTATCTTATTGCTCTAGTTGTGTCATTTAATTTTGAATAATAATTATCTGTTTTTTGGTTTTAGTTTTGTTTTTTTTCCATTTTTTCTCTACCTGGTACCATGGAAACAGTTTGTTTGGATTGCCATACCAACAGTTTTGTGTGGGGGAGGGGATGCTATGCCTTGTGATTAATTTTTATGCATATATATTCATATTTGATTTGATTTCATTTGGTTAGTTTAAATTTGTTGAATGGGCTGGGGAGATAATTCTCATTGCCATGATCGATGTTGAATCAAATCAGAAAAACAAAGCATACCTACCGGAGTGATCTTGATCTGTCTCTAGTTATATAGCTGACAGTGAAATCCGTATTAATTGAGTCTGAGGACGATCTAGTAATAAACCAAAAACTTTTATAGGCAGGCCATAAGATGTCTTGCTCATCAATACAATGTATAGGTGCTTCACAGTTATTGATATTGACAAAGTTACCAGTTTTTAGACCCTATACTCTCAATGAAAACTGTGCTGTTATATGTCTCTTCTCTTGTTGCAGATAAAGGATTAAATTCCTTAGTTTCTCTTACCATGCGTAGAGTATTTGACATGCATTCATTCAAATTATAACATCTGTATGGTCATTGTCAAAAACCCAAAGTGCTTTCATTCAGTCTCAAACAAAAAGTAAGATACCCGGTAGTTTTTAAAGTTTTCTTGTCAAGTTTTTTAAGAATCAAACAAGATAGTAGATATGTCTTTCATGGGACAGACTGATATGTGAAGTACACTTTTCATATAAACAGTTTATCCATGGTTTTTCAGGCTGTATTTCTAACTGGCTTATATATCAAAAGACTAAATATAGCTAATTCCTTAAAGTGGTCAACTTTTCAAATAGCAAGAACTGTATGAAAAATGGTTTTCATGATGAGATCACCACAGAAATGAAGAAAATTCCCAGATGGCTTTAGTAAATTCTTTAACATCTTGAATTGATTTTGGCTATGGTTAAGTAATAATGATCAGCAGAGCTCAGAAAAGATTAATATGGTACTTTGTCAGTGACACAGTTTCTCTCTCTGGTGTAAAAATAAATGAGCACTGATCAAGTCATGACCATTTTCATCATTTTTTGTTTTTTATTCGGCAATAAGCTTATGCTTGGTAATAAGCCCACCCACATCTATTGCTGTTTAGTAGCATTATCAACATCTCTGTTTCATTATCCTGTAGTAAGCCAAACTCCTGATGTTGGAGTCCAATGTTAATGTGTTGGCCCCCTGGACTTATAGTATAAATACAGTAATACATGTATCTGGCAGATTGATATTGATCGACGTTATTTTGTATTAACTTGCTTATACTGTGTACTTGAGTTAAATATTCTCTATAACAGTGAAGTCCCCGCCAGCAGGATGGAGGGATGTTATTCTAAAGGAGGGTCCTGAGGGATTTGCTAAAAAAGTCAGGCAGCATGAAGGTCTGTTGCTTATGGATACAACCTTCAGAGATGCGCATCAGTCGCTATTGGCAACACGAGTCCGAACTCATGACCTTAAAAGGATATCGCCATATGTTTCGCACCGCTTTAGTAACCTCTACAGCTGTGAAAACTGGGGAGGTAGGTCAAAATAGGCCACAAAATATTTGTCTTTGTTGGGTTTTTTCTGTTATGTAAACTTGTTTAAAAACTAAACAATTATTTCATTTTTCTGAAATCTTGTTTGTGAAAAGTGGTGATAATATAACTGTTAGGTGTTTCTTTTCAAAAATAATGTTTCAGCACAATTTGATGACAAGCCTTGACTTGCGTGGTACATTTGTCTAACATTCCAAATTATTATGTATTCTTGACTACTTTCAATCATTTTCAATCATATTTTTAAGTTTGTAAGATTACTATGTACCTAATTCTGTATATTTCAGGGGCCACTTTTGATGTAGCCATGAGATTTTTGCACGAATGCCCATGGGAGAGACTTGCAACCCTGCGCAAGTTAATCCCCAATGTCCCATTCCAGATGCTGCTGCGGGGGGCAAATGCTGTGGGCTATACCAACTACCCTGATAATGTTGTGTACAAGTAAGTGACCTATTTGTCATGCAGACTTCAAACAAAATGTAGACAAGAAGTAATTATTAATAAAAAAAAACACCCTTATGGTATAATATCGAACATAAACAAGTGGTACATATTGTAATATACAGGGTTAGCTATATACTGATGGTTGTTATATACAGGTGTTAGCTATATACTGATGGTTGTTATATACAGGTGTTAGCTATATACTGATGGTTGTTATATACAGGTGTTAGTTATATACTTATGGTAGTTATATACAGGTGTTAGTTATATACTGATGGTTGTTATATACAGGTGTTAGCTATATACCGATGGTTGTTATATACAGGTGTTAGCTATATACTGATGGTTGTTATATACAGGTGTTAGCTATATACTGATGGTAGTTATATACAGGTGTTAGCTATATACTGATGGTTGTTATATACAGGTGTTAGCTATATACTGATGGTAGTTATATACAGGTGCTAGCTATATACTGATGGTAGTTATATACAGGTACTAGCTATATACTGATGGCTGTTATATACAGGTGTTAGTTATACACAGGTACATGGTAGTTATTCACAGGTGTTAGTTATACACAGGTACATGGTAGTTATTCACAGGTGGTAGTTATGGACAGATGATTGTTATATACAGGTGGTAATTAGACAAAGGTATTGATTATCAGTGGGTTGCTATTACTTTACCAGTGGTAGTTTAAAGACAGGTAGATAGAGGGCTGCAATAGTTCAGTCTGCAGAGTATGCTTCACCATAATCTCAGGTCAAGATTTAAGGTGCATGGTTTTACACTTCTTTACTTGGGCAGTTTGTGTATCCACAGAAACTGGGGAATGGACCAGTCAGTGCTGACATAGTTGTATCCTTAACACTTGACAAGACATCACTCTGGGTTTTATTGAAATTCTAAGAATGTGCTTTGTTTAATGGGCAAATTCCTTCCACTTTCTCCACACCCTGAAATTCTCCCATAATATTTATGTCCTAGATTTATCCATTCATTGAGTTTCACTCATTGCTCTAGCTGTCATGTGCCATATGTAATTTAGTGAAATAACCAACAGATATTACAAGGAAACCTCACCTCAAAGTGACCCTGGCTGTTGGATTATAAACCAGGATAGAAACAAGACAGGTTACAGACAAGTAGGATTTCACTTACACTATTCTTTGCTGAGATTTGTACTTTTTCTTTAGGTTCTGTAACTTGGCTGTACAACATGGTATGGACATCTTCAGGATATTTGATTCACTGAACTATATGCCAAACATTATAGTTGGAATGGAGGCTGTTGGAAAAGCTGGTAAGTATGGTTATAGCAGTGCGATAACAGCAGTAAGGTTATAGCAGTACAGTAACATCAGTTAGGTTATAGCAGTATGGTTACAGCAGTATGGTAACAGCTGTATGATAATAGTGGTACGGTAACATCAGTAAGGTTATAGTAGTACAGTAACAGCAGTATGGTTATAGCAGTATAGTAACAGCAGTATGGTAACAGCTGAATGGTAATAGCAGTACAGTAACAGTAGTAAGGTTATAGAAGTATGATTAAAGCAGTATGGTTACAATGGTATGATAACAGCTGTAACTTTATAGCAGTAAAGGTTACAGCAGTATGGTTATAGCAGTATAGTAACAGCTGTATGGTAATAGCAGTACAGTAACAGCAGTAAGGTTATAGCAGTATGGTTATAGCAGTATGGTTACAACATTAAGATAACAACAATATGATTATAGAGTATGGTTACAGCGGTATGACAACAGCAGTAAGTTTTATAGCAGTAAAGGTTACAGCAGTATGGTTACAGCAGTATGGTTACAACATTAAGATAACAACAATATGATTATAGCAGTATGGTTACAGCGGTATGACAACAGCAGTAAGTTTTATAGCAGTTAAGGTGTATGGTGGTTGCAATATGGTTAAAGCAGTATATTAACATTCTGATGAGTAACCCATTGATTTCTATAGCTGCTGAGCTTGATGTCTTTATCTGCAGAGAATGCAAGAAATGGAATGATGTGCTATAGGAGTTTCAATGCTGGCTGATTTTCATTTAATTGAATTGAAAAGTTCATTGAGATGTAATACATTGTACTAAATTTCTTTTGTAACCTTATGTGAATAATAGTGATATGTTTTGTGAAATCCTGTAACAGTCATTTCAAAATTCTGCAAAGACCAAAAAATATTCTTCAAAACTTTTTGAGTAAATATGAATATACCACTAAACAGAATGATCCTAATATGGACAGTAGATATCAGGATTAAAGTGTCTTTATGGTGGTTAAATCAAAGGTAAAGTTAAATTTGATATCAAGATCTGGTATATGGAATGCTTCAATGTCACCCCCAAATATTGATATCATAAGGAATGATAAAACAGTCAGAGAAATATTTCAATTCTAAAAAAGTTTTAGCACAATTGTTACCACATTATCGTTAGAGCAGTGAAAATAACACAGCACAGCTACTGCATTACTATTAAAGCAGTATGATGAGTGTTCTGATGTTGATCCGTGACAAAAGGGCTGATTTCATATTCATGCTTTTACCTTAAATACTGACAGATTGGTAAATAGCAATATCATACAGCAGTAGAAAAGAAGATTAAAAGTGTGGCTTTTTATTGACTGTATCCTTCATCAGACAAATGACCTGTGTGAAGTGTACTAGCACTGATGTACATAGTATCAAGATGGTAAGGAATCAACCAACTCGTAAAGACTAGTATTTAGGTTTTTGGTTTTGGTGTTAAGTTTAATACACAAATCACACTTCACAACTTTTTAAATACAAAAATTGTGTACAAAAACAGATCTCCTCTGTTCATATATTCACCATAGCATCAATACATAAAGTCTTCACTTGATTATGTTTTAGTTCTCATTGGTTGAGATTTTAAGAATTCAAATATTGTTCTAATATATCCATAAAGTACTGTCAGCTTTAGGTAATTAAGCTTTGAGGAACCAATACCTGGCACAGTCAGAAAAGTCCATACTCCTTATTGGTTGATGACTCAGGCATTGATCTACATCAAAATGCATTCATCTATAAAGATACATTTATTGTTTTTCCAAAAAGAAGAAATCTAAAATATATAAGCTGAATATGTTTGATAACTTTTTCAGCTGTACTATAATCCTATGAACACTAAGGCAGAAAATAGTATGACGAAATGGTAAGCAGATTATAGGAGAAAAAAGTATAAAAGATGGTAACAATGTACTGTCGTCAATTTGGTTACACTTTGTCTGATGAAGGTGACCATGTATTCATTGAAACATCACACTTAAATCTTCTACTTGTTGTGATATAAAAACTTCTATTCTGTTGATATGACCAACTTGACGTAAATGCTCTGAAATATGGTTAGATCTGTATTGTGATAAATGAGTTGTAACCTGATTATGGAATCGCATCAAAGTCAGATTAGAGTAATAACAGTAGCTTATACTATGTTGTATGTGACATATCTTTTGTAGGTGGGGTAATAGAGGCCTCAATGTCCTATACTGGTGATGTGTCAGACCCCAGCAAAACTAAGTACAACCTGCAGTACTACTTAGACATGGCTGACCAACTCGTTAAGGCTGGTACTCACATCCTTGGTGTCAAGGTAAGTACACAATGTCACAACTCGTAAAGACTAGTATTTAGGTTTTTGGTTTTGGTGTTAAGTTTAATACACAAATCACACTTCACAACTTTTGAAATACAAAAATTGTGTACAAAAACATATCTCCTCTGTTCATATATTCACCATAGCATCAATGCATAAAGTCTTCACTTGATTATGTTTTAGTTCTCATTGGTTGAGATTTTAAGAATTCAAATATTGTTCTAATATATCCATAAAGTACTGTCAGCTTTAGGTAATTAAGCTTTGAGGAACCAATACCTGGCACAGTCAGAAAAGTCCATACTCCTTATTGGTTGATGACTCAGGCATTGATCTACATCATAATGCATTCATCTATAAAGACACATTTATTGTTTTTCCAAAAAGAAGAAATCTAAAATATATAAGCTGAATATGTTTGATAATACAGTGATAAAACATTTATTGTGTATCCAGGATATGGCAGGTCTACTGAAGCCACCGGCAGCCACCTTGCTGATCGGAGCACTGCGGGACCGCTTCCCTGACATCCCCATCCATGTTCATACACATGACACAGCTGGAGCTGCTGTGGCCTCCATGTTGGCATGTGCTCATGCAGGGGCTGATGTAGTGGACGTGGCTGTTGACTCAATGTCAGGAATGACCTCCCAGCCAAGCATGGGTGCTGTGGTAGCTGCCCTAGAAAGATCTGCATTAGATACAGGTACTGCATGATGTGCTCTCTTGAGGTTCTTCAAGATCAGACTTTTAATCCTTGCAATATTTGGCTTATAATTCTCACAATATTTGGTACCATTATTTGCCATAATTTAACTGTTATATGCTATTGTCTTTGAGATGTATAACTGTAAAGGAAGGTAATGTAATCTACTGAATAATTTTGAAATGATATTAGAGAGTAATTTATAGACAGTTTTGACTAATATTTGTGCAAGAAAGAGAATCCATTACTATCACAGACTCAGATTGATATTTTGTAACTTCTCCTTCTTGACTTCCCCTCACATGAGATTTTGTTTCAAAATATCGGTCCTTGACTAAATTGATCTTGAACACATACAAGTAACATATGGTTTTACTTATTTTGTAAGATCATGCCATGTAATGCACATGGCATGTGAATATCTTATCATAGATAAAATTTGAGCGAAAGAATAACTGACATCACCTCACATTGGAAGAACATATGATCTATTAAACATCTTTAGAGAAACTGACCTATACTAGGATTATTCATTAGAAATGTTTTATACTTTAAAACATGTTTAAAGTTTTACATGTTACTGATAACCTGTGCTTTGGTTGATACAGGAATAAGCTTACCTGATGTGTCAAATTACTCATCTTACTGGGAACAAACCAGGAACCTGTATGCTCCATTCGAATGCTGTGTAACAATGAAGAGTGGAAACTCAGACATCTACAACAATGAAATTCCAGGTATTGCCAGTATACAGATCTAATAGTTTTGATACACAATCTCTTATTTCATTACTTCAAATTTATGTTATCATTCAGATACTAATTAACAGAATGTCATGGTTGTCTTGTAAGTAATATGTGTGATAAATAGTGGTAAATCTTTCCATTGAGATGATATGATCAACATCAGGATGTGTGATGATAATCTGTGTGTCTGTACAGGTGGCCAGTACACCAATCTACAGTTCCAGGCCTTCAGTCTTGGTCTGGCAGACCAGTTTGAAGAGGTGAAGAAGACATACTCTGTAGCCAACAAACTCATGGGAGATATCCCTAAGGTATAGATTACATGTAGTCTACTGAAAATGTAATGGTGCATACTCTTACTTTCATGAAATGAGAATGAATTAACATGAATTCTTCATCGTAAATGAGTATATTTACTTATTTATTTAGTTAAAAAGACAGAATCTGTTGTTGTATAATGTTAATGGATTCCAGGTATTGAAGTTATTTCATCAATCAAATTTGTAGCCCTAATGAATTTTTATGTGTAATAATAATAATATTTCATTTTACATTACATTTTAAACCAGAAATTTAATTGACTTTACATGAAGTCACTTGCATAATTTGTATAATATTTACATGTATGACATGAATTATATAGACAAAGATATTAAGGTCCTATAACATTCATTTCTAGTGCTGACAAATGTAAGAAAGCTAAGCATTTCGCTCTCCTAATGTCAGTTTGTGAAATTCTTGGATCAGCAGAGTAAGTGTAATGAGATAAACAGCATCACAATGGTTGTCACATGACCAGATAGTACTACAGTCTCAACAGATGTTTTGTATTCTCTATACATTGCAATGAGAAGATTCAGAGGAGTTAAGACTATATCGGTAATATTAGGTACATATGAATGCATTGTATGTATCTTTTTGCTGTGTTAATAGGTTACACCTTCCTCCAAAGTGGTGGGAGATTTGGCACAGTTCATGGTCCAGAACAAACTCAGTGCAGCTATGGTGGAGGAGAAGGCAGATGAGTTGTCCTTCCCTGTATCGGTTGTGGAGTATTTCCAGGGCTTCCTAGGTGCCCCTCCAGGTGGATATCCTGAGCCTCTGAGAACAAAGGTATCATTCCACATCAACACAAGTAATTGTAAAATCACCATCAATTATATAATATAGTTACAATTAATCATAACTCAAAACAGTACCAATCAAAAATTTGAACACTTATAACTTGATAATCATGTGTGATTTTCAAATTTGCAAGTAAAATCTGTACATATATCCTCCAAACAATGTACAAGTTGGGTTTGGCTTATTCACTTAACCCCCTTGTTTGTTTTATCATTTATGTGTTTTGGTACAGGACATGATGTTTAACATGATATATTCATTTGAGAACATTTCAGTGAGAAATGGTACGTACATAATCATACTGTAGAATTATTTATTGTTTTCTTAAAGCAATAAGATTTCTCTCCAAATTTTGTTACATAAAGCATTGGATAAGACAGACTTAACCTATGTAACCGTTCTCCATGAAATTACAAAATATATGTTATTAAATGTGTCAATGATGATGAATAAAATGGACTATTTTGTACTGTCAGATTCTGAAAGACAAGGAGAGAATTGAACACAGACCTGGAGAGTCACTGCCTCCCATGGACTTTGATCAACTCAAAACAAATTTGGAGGAGAAGCATGGCAATGCCGTGCGCGATGTGGATGTGATCAGTGCTGCTCTGTACCCGAAAGTCACAGACAAGTTCCTTGAGTTCCGCAGTAAATATGGTCCTGTAGATTGTCTGGACACTAGGATGTTCCTCATTGGTCCCAAGATGGCACAGGAAATAGAGGTGCAGTATATTTATAAATTAGTGTCAACCAACATTATGGAAATCTAGAATATGGAGAATATGTTTAATGTGAAATGACTTGGTAAAGATGGAAAAGTATTGAAGAGCAAGACTCAGTAATTAATGCCCACTGAGTCCTGGCATGTGCTGTTATTATCAATTGTTAGCAGTACATACTGTATATTTATATAGGAATGAAGTAGACTGAAACTGTAAACTCCTGTCAGGGCCCGTATTCATGAAACCATTCTCAAGCTCAAGCATAGATTTTGTGCTCAAGCAAACTTTTTTATAATTCACCTAAATAATATAAAATAATACAAATGTCAAATTTAAACCTTGAATATAGCTTTGACTTGAAGTCCTTTCAAAATTGTTTTTCAATCTTCGGCAAAATCAGCCTTATTTATTAATTTTTAACTTAAACAAGACATAAGACTTGGGCACAAAATTCATGCTTTAGCATGAGACCAGTTTCATGAATGCAGGCCTGGTTTTGAGGGTTGTATCATAAATACTTAAGGGATTTTTTTACTTACTTTACTTTGTTTTCTGAGAGGATGATTTTTAAGATGGTGTGACATTGATTTGCTACAGGTTGACATAGAGAAAGGCAAGACCTTGTCTATTAAGACCTTGGCTGTTGGAGATCTCAACAAACTTGGCCAGAGAGAGGTATTCTTTGAGTTAAATGGACAGCTGCGCTCTGTCATCATCACAGATAGTGAGGCAACAAAGGTAAAACTGTTACAAATTCTTTATAAAGCTTTTCAAATAGATTTATTTCTTCATCCTTCATGAACCATACACATTTGTCTTTAACAAAATTCATTTAATTATCAATTACTTACATGATATATGGGATGGGGAAACCAGCTTAAGTGATTAATCATTATTATGTATTCTGATCTTCATGTACAGGTGTGTAATCACACATCCTCATAGACGAGTTCACCGTTTTTATTCTCTCAAAATCTTGATTATCACTATAGCAACTTTCCCATCACATGTTGATGTATCATCAAACAACTGTTTATTCGGTTTAGCAATATCACAAGTTTGTATATATCAGCAGGTTGTACTGTTTCTTCAGCGGTCATATTCTCAATCTGTTGCAGTGATGGTTTAATAAAATTCTAATGATAATTTACACCAAGGTGATTACAATGCCTTGTCCATTGTAGGAGCTAAGTGTTCATCCAAAGGCACAAAAGGGAGTTAAGGGTTCCATCGGGGCACCAATGCCTGGGACGGTCCTGGAAGTGAAGGTCAAGGAGGGAGACAGGGTCTCCAAGGGTGACCCCATTGTTGTTCTTTCAGCAATGAAAATGGAGATGGTGGTCAATGCACCTGCTGATGGTGTTGTCAAAAGTGTGGCAGTGGCACTCAACACAAAGTTGGAGGGAGACGACCTATTGTTAGAAATGGAGTGTGAGAAAGATTAACGCTTCATTAACATTGAGTCTGCTGATCACATACAACCAGTTCACTAACAACTTCATCAGATACTCTACTACTCTAGAACTGTTTGCGTCTGTATTTGTAAAGTCTAATAGTTTTATTTTCCAGTTTCTCGACTGTGACCTTCCACTATCTGCTTCAACACCTATCAGAAACATCGTTTTAATCAGAATTATTTACTGGGGATTGATTTAAACAAGACGTGACATGAGCCATGATTATTAGTTTACATCAACACTATAATGATGAATTTCACTGCTTTAAGAGTCGCCATTATCATTCTGTAGACACAAACATCTTGGGACCAGTACTACCTAGATTTTTTTTTAATGTGGTTTTTATCAAGGCTCAAAGATATTTTTCTTTTTTTTATATCTTTTTTTTTTCAATCAACCTTTTCTTGAAAGAAAATTGTCATTTCAAGACTTGAAGAAATTGTCATAATGATTGTCAAAACTAATCCCAATGAATTGTTCAGTTATCCGTTTCACAATGTCTTTTCATTGTGTTAAATTTTATTCAAGATGGGTACCCTGGTTATTTACTGAATTTTTGTTAAGAGAGAAGGGTGGCTGGGCAGAAAATTCACCATAGTAAACCAAATATATTCTCGGATATCTACACAACAGCATTCATATTTCACATTGTCATGGGGAAGTGAAGGCCTATATCCATGTTTTACATTGTTGTAGGAAAGTGAAGGCCCATATCCATATTTGACATTGTCATGGGGAAGTGAAGGCCCATATCCATGTTTCACATTGTCATGGGGAAGTGAAGGCCTATATCCATGTTTTACATTGTTGTAGGAAAGTGAAGGCCCATATCCATATTTGACATTGTCATGGGGAAGTGAAGGCCCATATCCATGTTTCACATTGTCAGGGGGAAGTGAAGGCCCATATCCATGTTTCACATTGTCAGGGGGAAGTGAAGGCCCATATCCATGTTTCACATTGTCATGGGGAAGTGAAGGCCCATATCCATGTTTCACATTGTCACGGGGAAGTGAAGGCCAATATCCATGTTTCACATTGTCACGGGGAAGTGAAGGCCCATATCCATGTTTCACATTGTCTTGGGGAAGTGAAGGCCCATATCCATGTTTCACATTGTCACGAGGAAGTGAAGGCCCATATCCATGTTTCACATTGTTGTAATAAAGTGAAGGTCCTTTGGCTTCTGGAAATCCATACCTTTTTATGTCAAAGATTATTTTCTATTTTGAACATTATAGGTCTATGTATGTTTGGATCATTTCTTTTCACAGCATTGTGTGCTTTAGTACTTGAATCAAATTTGGATTTTTCTCAAAATTAATATATGTAATTGAACCGTACAGCCTATAATCCTTTGTCAACAAAGGTGCTGCTTTATATTTTTTGATGATTGTTATATGAACAATAGATTGTGTTAGGAGGTATGTAGATATATTTGTAGTTTTTAAACTACCACATATACATATAAAACGTGCTAATTATTTCATTTGCATTCAATTTCATAATCTACTTTTATTTACATAACATATAAATTCTACATTTCTTGGGCATTTTCTCAAGCTAACGGCATTTGTAGTAGTTATTTTTCTAAACTGTTTTATTTTTTTATACAGATGAAATTGACTGTTGACAACTTCAATGTAACTTCATAAATGCTTTCTTTTAACTATCACTGATCAGCAACAGTAAAGATGTGTACCATACTACATTAGGTGGAGTTTGTTAAAATATTTCCTAAATGATGTATGGAATTTCCATTACAAAATATTGATAATAACCTCGATTATTAAAAATCTAGTCACAGCCATTTCAAAACCTTTGTGGAAATGACTTTACGGGATCAGAATGCCAAAATCTACTGTCAGTAACACTCAACAAATATGAGAATCTCTCACTACAAATGTATGACTTACTGCCATCTATTCTTACTGTCATATTTCTGTATTCACCTGATGCATTTAAATATCAATGTTTAAAAATATTTCTTGAATAGTGTGTGTGATCTAGTTGAAAAATATTTAGTTTGTTATATATTATTAAATTTTTTTTAGACTTACGAATTTTTTACATCTGAGCCTACGAAATGATACGGGTAATAATAAAAAAGGATTCTAGTTTTCTTTGTGTTCACCAGTGCTCAGAACTGTTAACTAGTATGTGTAGTGTATACATATCAATATCACCACTACAGGCAACAGTATTTTCAAAATTATTCTAAAAGATGTATCATTTTTCATTTATATCGGTCCAGACTCAAAAAAAAAAAAAGGCAAAACAGATAAATTAGACCTTATGGTACAGGTCCGAAGGTGTGCAGGTAGTGTTGAGTTCACCAGTTCAGATATACCACAATATGTCTTATTGTCAAAAAATACACTATGTACATCTATATAAAAGATTATACAGCTGGTATGTACTGAACAGGACACTGATTCATTTAAATGTAAAGATAGGATAGGGCATGGGAGTGGGGTTGGGGGATGATTATACAATAGGTAAAGTTGGTGTTCATTTCATAAAGATGGCGAACTGGGACATGGTAATAATGATAATATTTCATGGCACATGAGCTGTTTTTCAATGCTAACTCATTTGAAGTAAGGACCAGACAAAGGAGTTACTTTCTAATATACAGGGGACAGGGCTCTTTATCTTTAATGATGAGAATAAAGGTTTTTTTTAAAAATAACAATGTTATTGTTTTAGAAATGTAAAAAGCATAATATAACTTTGGAAATTAAAGACATATCCAAGGCGAGAGGTGGTTTTGTTTATAACATGTAGATGTCTTCATTTGAAGTATCTTCAGAATTAGTCTCTTATTTTTTAGTATTATTTGCTAAGCAATGTTTCCTGTTGAAATTTAATTTTGTATTTAATCTTTTGAAATGTATAAATGCATAATTTATAAATGTTTTGGTAACAACAGATTGTTTTAGGGTTGGGGTTTGGGGGTTCTGGGTAGTGTGGAAAGACTATTAACTATTTTATCATATACACTTAGATGTCTTTGCCTTCACTTAGAACCTTATTTTGTTATTCAAATATTATAAAGAAAATCAATGTTTCCTTTATTTGAAAAAATAAATAATGGAGAGTTTATTCTTTGAAATGTATAAATGCATAATACTGTAATGAATTGATTTAAAATTTTGATTTTGAATTCTCAAGGTAGGAAATTTTGGAAATTTCACTTTAAATCAGCCAAATTTGAGAATTTTGGTTTGTTGGAATATATCCACATTGTGTTTAATTATGCAATTTTGTTTACTTGAATATGAGTTATTACAATTGCAGCAGAGTTATTTCCCTTCATTGTGCCACCAAACTTATCAACATGCCACATGACTTTGGAGGCAGATCACAAAGCATTACAGTGAAGATATGTGTCTGAACAGAAAACCGTGAACTTCTAAAAGTCATATTATGAAGTACCTGAATGCACTTTAACAGTTAAATTGAAACCAAAAATTTTAAACTGGACTAAAACAGTACTTGATTGAATATTTGTTACTTTGTTGTTATTCTTGATACTCTGCTGATCAGGCATTATCAGCTTAAATCCCCATTTATGAACAGCACCATTTAGTGGTTTGAATTTAGGTGTCATGGTTATTGTTTACATGGTTGCCCCAATGACATGTCTAAAATCACCTCCATCTCCAAAGAGTTCCTAATCACATGAAGTATATTGGTTGTGGATGGACTGCAGAGGTAGTAACATCCTCTGTCAGTAACTTTAATCTCAATGTTTTATAATGCCTCCTTTGCTAGTTTGAGTGTTTACAGAGATGGTTTAATCATATTATATAATAGGAAAACATATAATCAGAAATACTTGATAAAAGCAGGAGAAAAATACGCTCAACATAAAAATGACATTCCATCTACTTAAGAATAACACTATGATAATATCAGTTTATATGTATACCACAAGTTATCTGTAAATGCTAATTTTCCAGCTTTATATCAGTCGCCATGTTACTGTAAATGGAATAGGTTCAGCCACTATGATAATTTCAATAATTATCAATTGTGTTTTAAGTTTTAATTACTTCTTTGATATTTTCTAATGAAACAGTAATAAGTGCTTCTAATTTATTTATTTTTAGTTTTTTTTCTATGCATTTTTCTTTACTCTCCCATACCATATGTACATCATACACATGAATCAAAGTACCATCTTACCATTGGGAGTGTAGGAAGTTGATACTCTATGTTATATGTCAAATGTTACATGGTTCAATCCACAAGTTATTTTGATTCATTAATATATATAGAATAGATAGAATAGTGCTATAGACATGTGTAATAAATCATCTGATATTTTGATAATTGGAAATTGTGTGTGTGTGCTTCCCCAAGTGTTCCCCATATATATAAATACATGTACATACTAAATACTTAATAGACAAGAGGAAAAACAGTCTTTCTCACGAGCCATAGGTAGTTCATTTGACCTACAGTACAGTGTACCATTAATTCATACACATCCTAAATGTGAAGTCTTCCCAGCATAATTGACACAACCACATTTAAGGTCCATTTAAGCCCACATAGAATATATTTATTAAAGTATAACATTCATTTCATTAAGTGCTTTTCTTTATTTTCATTCAGAATTGACATGATACAGGTAAACGTTTTGGACATCTCACCTGATGAAAGTGTTTTGATACATTTGTATTGACTGGATAATATGCTTCAACTCTACCAGGTCAATTGATTATTTTTCAGTCCATACAACAGCATATTCACTAGACAATAAGTCCATAATGATCTATCATTGTATATCATTTTGTTAGGTAACCTATATTTCAGAAAAAAATTACCCCATGTAACTCAATTTTTTTTTGATAAATGTGCTTATTCTCTGATGAATAAGGTAAGTGAAAATAACTTAGATGAAGATTTTTCCTTTATTGTGTCTTTGCTATTTTTAGTAATGGAGTCCTGATTTCTGTAGGTGTTTTCACTTATATAGGTCAAATGTTGCATTGTACATATTATATAGATTAAGGACGAAACAGATTTAAACAGAAAATTTCATTATATTATGAACTTTACCCAGGTAACAGGTCAGTAGAATATCCACAGAGGAACACTGTACAATATATACATTATGGTATCAGGTGTTTGCTGTAGAATTACACCCCAATATTTCTTTCATGATTACTCATTTTGTTACATATATTTATGAAAATATATATATTGGATTTGTTTGTAGATGTTCATGTGACTGTGAGAAAACCCAATTTTTTTTTTCTTGACTTAAAGTACAACCTGTTCTGTGTGTTAATAACAGAGAGACTATCCATGTTATTCTTTGTTATTGCTGATGTTGTTTGTGTTTGCATGTGTCTTGTTTTCTCTTTGATTGAAGCTATGTGTGGAAATATATATAGGAAAAAGTGAACAATGAAATTGAATTGTTTTTGTTTTTGTGTGGTTATTGAAAGACATGTTTGGTTAATCACAGAAGCTATAAAACATTAACCTTTACGTGTGGGAGGAAAGTTACAATGCAGTTAGACATTATAATGGTACTTAATTGACCTTGGAGGATTGGTGACTGTCAACGTTATAAAGAGTAAAGAGTCTTTTATGATCGCCTAGACATATATAGCTTAATGATGGAAAAAGCTAGAAAAACGTGGGAGGAGTATAAGATAATCACTCTGTGATTTTCTGTTGGATCATTCATTCATGAAGCCATGCAAGAGCGAAAGTGTATTAAGTTGTGGATGGCAGGATACACAAGACTGAACCTGGTATCAAGGTTGATGTGCCATAGTAAGGGTGTCCTGTTTATTGTAGTATATTGGGGGCTACATTACCATAGGGGAAGTAAGGATATGGAGGTATATTTCATACCAAAGGGAAGTAAGGATATGGAGGTATATTTCATAGAGGAAGTAAGGATATGGAGGTATATTTCATACCGTAGGGGAAGTAAGGATATGGAGGTATATTTCATAGGGGAAGTAAGGATATGGAGGTATATTTCATACCAAAGGGAAGTAAGGATATGGAGGTATATTTCATAGAGGAAGTAAGGATATGGAGGTATATTTCATACCGTAGGGGAAGTAAGGATATGGAGGTATATTTCATAGGGGAAGTAAGGATATGGAGGTATATTTCATACCGTAGGGGAAGTAAGGATATGGAGATATATTTCATACCATAGGGGAAGTAAGGATATGGAGGTATATTTCATACCGTAGGGGAAGTAAGGATATGGAGGTATATTTCATAGGGGAAGTAAGGATATGGAGGTATATTTCATACCGTAGGGGAAGTAAGGATATGGAGATATATTTCATACCATAGGGGAAGTAAGGATATGGAGGTATATTTCATACCGTAGGGGAAGTAAGGATATGGAGGTATATTTCATAGAGGAAGTAAGGATATGGAGGTATATTTCATACCGTAGGGGAAGTAAGGATATGGAGGTATATTTCCCATAATAAAGATTCCCTGTGTTTAATGATATATAACTTGATAATATACCAGGAGTCCTAGAGATGTAGATTTTTCCATACAAGAGTTTCCCTACATTATAGCTATATATTTTACTGTTGAGTAAGCATGGACATAGATGTAGCATTATAAGCATTCCCTGTACCTTACAGTATACAGCTGGATACTTTACAGTAGAGTACGGAAATTCCTCTTTGGTGGGGATTGCAAGAAGGGATGCTGACAAAGTGCTGTTAATGTTCATTATGGCAGTCACATCAGTGAACAGTTGGTTTTCAAGAAAAAAAATCTTCATTTTCCATCTATTAGATTCAGCTCACCTGTCATACTGAAATGATCCCAAAATGATCCTTCCCAAAAGTTATTTTTGGAGTTGGTCTAAAATCCAATATGGCTGCAATTATCTCCATCTTGAAGATAAAGATATACTTCCTTCATACTGTTATGGTGTTTTATAATTTTTTGATATTTGTGGTCAGATCACTGTAAAAGTTTATGAGCTAGTTGTTATAGGGACTTTTAATATTCACGTATAGTCTCTGGTTAGAGGGTTCAATAAGTGCTTGTCGGTAGTTAAAGAAGTTCCCAGTGGCTTGGGAGATTTAAAGGTTTTCAGGGCTTGTTAAAAAAGTTAGGATTCCGTTACATGTGACTTCTCAGTAACTAAATATAGATAGAATTGTATGTTTTGATTACAGGTTGCCATATGCCGTGAATATGTCACCTTAAGCTGCTGTTACACTTTACAATATTTGCATTGCATATAATGGGCACAGCTGGACAAAAGTGTAGATTTGTGTAAATTATAGATTCTCCATAATGACTGATCGTGTAGGCTTAACAGTGGCAGCAGGTGAGGTCTAGTTTTCTCCAACTCAGGTGGGTGTTTTTTTTTGTTTTTTGTTTTGTTTTTTTTTTTTTTTTTTTTTTTTCATAAAAAATAAACATGAATTCTTCTTTTCCTATTTCCTTTCTTGCTTGAGTGAAATGATCACAAATAGAAAAATACTTCAATGCGGTTTTAAAAAGACAAACACTGAGTCATTTCAGTCATACTATTTTTAAAAAGGGGATACACAAACACTGCTTGTAGTCCATTTATTGATTTATCATTATAGCAGTGGTCAGCATCTCTTTATAACATACATAGAAACAGATATTCCTTAACCAGTATCACTCTAATAAATTACTATAAAGTTCAGGAAACACGGACTTGGAGAAAAGATATACAACATAAAGGTGCTGCTTTCAAAGCCTTTGATATATTATAATAGAACAAATTCAGTGATGCTGGACTTGTGCTGTTTTGATGGACACTGGTACATATGAATCCTAAGACTGATGTTTGAAGGACACTGGTACATCTGAATCCTAAGACTGATATTTGAAGGACACTGGTACATATGAATCCTAAGACTGATGTTTGAAGGACACTGGTACATCTGGATCCTAAGACTGATGTTTGAAGGACTCTGGTACATCTGGATCCTAAGACTGATGTTTGAAGGACACTGGTACATATGAATCCTAAGACTGATGTTTGAAGGACTCTGGTACATCTGGATCCTAAGACTGATGTTTGAAGGACACTGGTACATATGAATCCTAAGACTGATATTTGAAGGACACTGGTACAACTGAATCCTAAGACTGATATTTGAAGGACTCTGGTACATATGAATCCTAAGACATGTTTGAAGGACACTGGTACATCTGGATCCTAAGACTGATGTTTGAAGGACTCTGGTACATATGAATCCTAAGACATGTTTGAAGGACTCTGGTACATATGAATCCTAAGACATGTTTGAAGGACACTGGTACATATGAATCCTAAGACTGATGTTTGAAGGACACTGGTACATCTGAATCCTAAGACTGATGTTTGAAGGACACTGGTACATCTGGATCCTAAGACTGATGTTTGAAGGACACTGGTACATCTGGATCCTAAGACTGATGTTTGAAGGACACTGGTACATTTGGATCCTAAGACTGATGTTTGAAGGACACTGGTACATATGAATCCTAAGACATGTTTGAAGGACACTGGTACATATGAATCCTAAGACTGATGTTTGAAGGACACTGGTACATATGAAGCCTAAGACATGTTTGAAGGACACTGGTACATTTGGATCCTAAGACTGATGTTTGAAGGACTCTGGTACATATGAATCCTAAGACTGATGTTTGAAGGACTCTGGTACATTTGGATCCTAAGACTGATGTTTGAAGGACTCTGGTACATATGAATCCTAAGACTGATGTTTGAAGGACTCTGGTACATATGAATCCTAAGACTGATGTTTGAAGGACACTGGTACATATGAATCCTAAGACTGATGTTTGAAGGACACTGGTACATCTGAATCCTAAGACTGATATTTGAAGGACACTGGTACATATGAATCCTAAGACTGATGTTTGAAGGACACTGGTACATCTGGATCCTAAGACTGATGTTTGAAGGACTCTGGTACATCTGGATCCTAAGACTGATGTTTGAAGGACACTGGTACATATGAATCCTAAGACTGATGTTTGAAGGACTCTGGTACATCTGGATCCTAAGACTGATGTTTGAAGGACACTGGTACATATGAATCCTAAGACTGATATTTGAAGGACACTGGTACAACTGAATCCTAAGACTGATATTTGAAGGACTCTGGTACATATGAATCCTAAGACATGTTTGAAGGACACTGGTACATCTGGATCCTAAGACTGATGTTTGAAGGACTCTGGTACATATGAATCCTAAGACATGTTTGAAGGACTCTGGTACATATGAATCCTAAGACATGTTTGAAGGACACTGGTACATATGAATCCTAAGACTGATGTTTGAAGGACACTGGTACATCTGAATCCTAAGACTGATGTTTGAAGGACACTGGTACATCTGGATCCTAAGACTGATGTTTGAAGGACACTGGTACATCTGGATCCTAAGACTGATGTTTGAAGGACACTGGTACATTTGGATCCTAAGACTGATGTTTGAAGGACACTGGTACATATGAATCCTAAGACATGTTTGAAGGACACTGGTACATATGAATCCTAAGACTGATGTTTGAAGGACACTGGTACATATGAAGCCTAAGACATGTTTGAAGGACACTGGTACATTTGGATCCTAAGACTGATGTTTGAAGGACTCTGGTACATATGAATCCTAAGACTGATGTTTGAAGGACTCTGGTACATTTGGATCCTAAGACTGATGTTTGAAGGACTCTGGTACATATGAATCCTAAGACTGATGTTTGAAGGACTCTGGTACATATGAATCCTAAGACTGATGTTTGAAGGACACTGGTACATATGAATCCTAAGACATGTTTGAAGGACTCTGGTACATCTGGATCCTAAGACTGATGTTTGAAGGACACTGGTACATATGAATCCTAAGACTGATGTTTGAAGGACTCTGGTACATCTGAATCCTAAGACTGATGTTTGAAGGACACTGGTACATCTGGATCCTAAGACTGATGTTTGAAGGACACTGGTACATCTGGATCCTAAGACTGATGTTTGAAGGACACTGGTACATTTGGATCCTAAGACTGATGTTTGAAGGACTCTGGTACATATGAATCCTAAGACTGATGTTTGAAGGACACTGGTACATATGAATCCTAAGACATGTTTGAAGGACTCTGGTACATCTGGATCCTAAGACTGATGTTTGAAGGACACTGGTACATATGAATCCTAAGACTGATGTTTGAAGGACTCTGGTACATCTGAATCCTAAGACTGATGTTTGAAGGACACTGGTACATCTGGATCCTAAGACTGATGTTTGAAGGACACTGGTACATCTGGATCCTAAGACTGATGTTTGAAGGACACTGGTACATTTGGATCCTAAGACTGATGTTTGAAGGACTCTGGTACATATGAATCCTAAGACTGATGTTTGAAGGAC